CCCATTTATGTAATTGGCCCTTTAACTAGCAACCTGCTAGCAGCAGAGTGGCCTCTAGAAAAGTCTTATCTCCCATCTGAATGACCAGTGCGCCCAACACAGACTATGATCTTTTTTCAGTATAAATATTTACACACACGCACACAAATGACTGAATAATAACTGCACAACTTTCAAAAGACTCGAAATTTGTCTTCCAGTGTCATGAAAAACAAATACCAAAGCTCAGTTCTGCACAATTACGATCTCTTTGAGGTTTGATGGCCAGGGTATTAGGGTGGCCATTCAGCCCCATGGAGTCTCTCCTTTACCAAGAGGATGAAGATATCAGCATCAGCAAGTGCTTGGGAACAACAGTTTCAGAGGTGCTTCCTGCTGGTAGAGCAGCCAACTCACCAAATGATCTGTGAGGCATCCACTGGATGCCCCTGGAAACTTCTTCCACCCTGTGCCTCTCTCATACCCATCGACTGCAACTTCTCAACAGTCACTTTGAACATCTTTGCAATATCTCCATGGGTCTGCAAAGCCTTCACAATCATCAGTCACTACTTTGTGGTATAAAAATGAAATGTCATCTTTTCACAAAGGCAGAAAAAATATTACCGAATTTTTATTTTAAAATCAAGCTGCTGGCCTGACTGACTGACATGTTTATCCACCTGTTCCCTACCGAAGCCTTGTAAGGGGACTGCATTAAGTAGTTTATGTTAAATACAGGAAGGAATCTGCCAGCAAATCTTCAAGAATGAAATGGCATAGCACGCAAGGATGGGTATCTATGTACAAGGTTGCTATCCTTTTAACATATTCTGCTGTCTTTCATGCAACAAAATTGTTCTTGATAGCTGATAATGAGAACTGACTGAAGAAGCTGCACTGCTCCTCTACATAACCAGGCAAAGACAGCACCTCTGTCTGCAAACTTTGGGAGATGTGCCTTTCTGAAATCAAAGAAATTTCATAGCTCTGAAGTCACTGGCAATCACCAAATTTATTGAACACTCAAGCTCCCCTACTATTTACATGTAATTCTACAACATTTTTTCCACCACCCACCAGATTGGGCAGCCCCCCTCAGCCTGGACTTGAAACCTCCAGGGCTGTTCACAGATTCTTTGGGCAGTTTGTTCCAGGGCCTCGCTACCCTCACAGAGAAGAATTTCTTCCTAATGTCTAACCTAAATCTACCCTCTTTCAGAGCGTGCTATCACTACACTCCCTGATAAAGACTTGGTCTCCTTCTTTCCTGTAGACCCCCCTTGGTACTGGAAGGCTGTTCTAATCCTTTTTGTGGCCATCCTCTGGACCTGCACTAATACATAATCCATGGCCCTCTTGTGTTGGGATCTCAAACTCAGATGCAGTATTGCTAGTGAAAAGCTGTCAAGCATGAGTAACTATGAAAGTTACATAGTAGGGTATGGTTTGTAAAAATACGCTGTTTGTTTTTTCTCTAAACATACTCTGTAGTAGTCTGGGGGCCTTGTGTTGGCTTTTAATGGATCACTTTTACTTGTGGACTGTTGAAAATCCACATCTCACAGGAGAGAGTAATAAGTAGAGATCCCACGTAAGCCCTTGCAACAGAACCACTGTGAAACAGCAGTGGGCAAACCCAAAAAGAGATAATCAGATTTATCCCCATCAGCTCTCTGCTGTATATATTGTCAAGTTATTTTCTTCATTTAGTGCCATCTGCTTCCTATGACACTTCTTTCAAATCACAACAGTATCTGGGAGTAGGATATACCATCTGGCTTTGCTCTTTTTCGTACACACAAAACTCCTGTCTTCAAACAAGATCAGCCTTCGTGTAAAATCAAGATATATACAATGTAGTGGAGGGAAGGCCACCAGCATACAACACGTAGGTAATGGACAGATACAAACTGGGCTTTACCCTGGTATCTCATAGATTGGTATTAAAGCTTTCAGTGTGATGAACGATTGTTCTCTAAAAATGCATTTTGAGAGGCCAGTTCATACAGAAAAGAACTTCCTCCTTACAATTCCTAGGCATAAAAACATTCCTTAAGCTCCAAGCTGAATCCCTAAAACCAGTGTATTTGAAACACCCAGCAATATTTCAGGAACACGACGCCATATTCTTCTGTCCTGGTGAGGCTAAGCTCCATTTTCTTTCTCAGAATTGTACTGTTAGTCTGGCAATCGTTTCCTGATTGTAAATACAATCTATTAGTTTTTAAAGACACTGAAAATAAGAAAAAGCCGAACACCTAATTGCTAAGCTAAGTGAACGTGCCCGTCCTCAGGGTCTCACCGGTTTGTGTCCAAGCTCTTCCCGCCCGGCCAAACCCAGGCCGAGCTCCAACGGACTGCGCCTGTTGGACAGCAAAGAGCTCATCGGCGCTCTGCTGCCACCTTGTGACCGCAGCCATTCCCATCTGGCACACTGGATTGCAAATCCAGGGAATTTTGAAACCGAGAGAAAAAGGGAAGCTGCTTCCCATCCTTACCTTTGAGTCACGCTGTCCACATCCACAAGACATACTTTCATTTGGCTCATCCGTTCTGGTTGTTCACAAGTGGCTCTCTTTTTGCTGAGACAAAGTGCTAGCAGCTGGCACTCAGATTTGCACACAAGGACTTTCTCCCCACAGCCCGTCATGGCAAGACTTTGGGCGTGATAAGAGTACCAAAAGCTATACAGCCTAAGAGTAAATGAGAAAGTGCTCACTGAGGCTGGGCGCAGGAGGCGCGCTGCGCGGCACTGCCTGGCCGCTCTCTCCCCAGGGCCAACGTCTCGTGCCGCCACGAGGCGGTGGGCGCGTGCCAATACCGGCGCGAGCCGCATGGCGGCACTGCAGCACGCCCTGCTCCGATCCTGCTGCTGCTCGGCGGGAGCTGCCGCCCGATGAGTAAACCGGGCTTTCTTCCACGCCACCCTTCCAAAATAATGGTAGTAACAATGTTGCTCTAACGCCGGTTTTGTGGTACTTTTGGTTACTGTCTGCGCAAGGTGTGACCTGTGGCTGCCCTGCGCAGGACAACCCACAGCACCGCGCTCTGCAACTGGTGACACTCAGACGTGTGAGCTGCTTGCTCTGCTTGCTGTCCCCTCAGGTTGTTTTTTTTGTTTTGTTTTGTTTTGTTCTTCCTTTCTTTTCTTTCCTTTTCATTCGTTCCTTTTCTTTTCTTTCTTTTCTTAATTCCTTATTTCTTCCCCTCCCTCAGAAGAAACATTTTTAAATAAACTGCTCTCCCTGCTGATGCAGAAAAAGTTCCTGAGGCAAGCTTTCTCAGGAATATTTGAAATGACAACAGCCACTGAGCCCTCTTCACTACTAGAGTTTTTGGTGAAACCTGTTATAAGCCTCTTTTGATAAGGAATTAAAATCAGAGTCACTCTTTGCTCTTGATCTGTAGTAGCAAGTCACTTTTATTCTTTGTTGATAAAGTTACTGAGGTGAAGTTTCAGTCTGAAAATGTTTCTCTATTTCCAGATTTAATCATGAGTACCCTAGAGGGAGTCTTCTGCAAAATGAAGCAGAGTTAAAAGGTTTTTTATAGTTACAGTTTTGTTGCCCTTTTGTCTATATGTCATTTCTCAGTAGAGCAACATAAAGAAACACAGTGCAAGTCAAATAATCCATGTAACAATCATGGATTACTTCCAATTCAAGATTTGGGTCCTGTAATTCAAAACCAGACAAACTCGCTATTTCTCACTTTGGTACTTTCTTTCATTCAGCAGAAGAGGAAAGTTTTAGACAAAGAAGTAAAAGCTCGTTTATTGAACCAAGCAGAAAAGGACAGGCTGAGAAAAACTACATTTACTCATTTAATTAATTGAACTGAAAGTAAATGATACTGCTTAGAAACTGAAACACAGACAGGAATGTTAGCAAAGAGAAGTGATATGATTCACACCCTATTTGGGATACAGTGAAGAAAGAGACTCACTACCTATAAATCAGTTCAAGCTCAGCTGGAGGTATTATCCAAGATAACTATATCAATTCTTTCTGTATATCTATCTCAATATGATTCTACTGAAGATGCAATTTTTATTGTGGAGAAAAAAAAATCACTTTTTCTTCCTGTTTTCTGAAACAATTCTCTAAGATTTCACACAGTACTGGATAGACAGACTGGCCTTGGACAGAACGTGCGTTCTGTCAAATCTTTGTGCTGATCTCTGCTTACAGTAGGGAAGGTACTGCCCTGTTCAGAGTAGCATAATTCGAGAGGCACAATGTGTATGTGCAGGTGTGAGGCAAGAGATTGTAAACATACTGGCTCTGAAGCAGTGCTTGCTTAATGAATTTCTTGAAGAATATATTATTTAAGTGCAAACAGCCACGGATTTTTTTAGTAGGTTTCTGGAAAGTAGCTCTCACAGAAAGGTAATAGAGTCTCCCCCTTGTAGATCTTTTTAAGCTGTCTGGACATGGTCCTGGGTAACCTCCTCTAGGAATCCCTACTGAGCAGGAGCATTGGACCTGATGGTCTCTGGAGATCCTTTCCAAACTTAACTCCAAGAATCTGTGAAACACTCTCTTTCTTGCTTTTGAAAAATAAGAAAAAGAAAAATTGTGGAGAAACCTACATTTTTTTTCCTTCCCTTGACTTGAACTAGGCTTCCTCTTAATACTAACATGAAAACCTAGCCTTTTTTATTACATTATTAATAAAACTACTTGTTGAGTCACTCCGAGAACCTCATGGGAACCCACTATGTGTTGGAATCCAAAGAGCTTAGCGATATTCTGAGTATTAGCTCCTACAGATGCACTTCCTCTGCAAAATTGTACTTATTAACCCAGTGCAGAATAATTCAGAGTGGTGAATCTTATTCTAGGTTTCTGAAATTCTACAGTACCTTTTTTTTCACTGCATGGTTTTTGGTTCATCTTAACATTTTTCAAAGATATAAAATGTAGGCATTTGAGCTAAAAAAAAAACAAAACAAAACAAAACAAAAAACCACAACAATAACAAAACAACAAATGTTGAAGAATTTAACATTATATTCCACTCACAATCATATTTAGTAGTGAGACAATTAGGCCCTTTCACTAGAATGGTAAATTACCTAGAGCTCCATCTCTGATACAGCTGAAATACAATCACAGTATTTGTTTAATAGAAACTATATTAGTCTTCAGAAAATAATAACTGTGATGAAGACTTTCCAGGATTTGAGCCTAAAATCAACAGCTTGAATCATGGCTACCATTTCTTTAACAGTCAGGCAGATTATAGACACTGGATCTTGTCGCACATGGAATTTGTGGTTTACAGAATGGGAGTACCTATGTTCAAGTAGCTATGGAATCCCAAATAGGTAACGAGACCCCAGGTAGTCTGGGGATAAGTAGCATCTCTGTGGGCACAGCTCTTTGTTTAAGCATGTAGTAAGTTGAGTTCAGTGCATCACTTCTCACCTTGTGTTTCTGAAGGGCTGGAAGTGGCAGAGGAGTGTTGCAGTGGGCACAGGTCACCAGCATGTCGTAAGACTGAGTGTCTTTAAGAACTTGAGTTATGTGGAAAGTTTGCTTTTTGTGGGAGAATGAATACCAACCATCTTTTTGTTCTTTGGAGGTTTGAGCAAGGTTTTGGAGGTAAATGGATGTTCCCTTTTTTTCCCTTTGGGAGAGATGTCTTTCTGTGCAGCTGAACTCACAGAGTGGGAAAAGGGAGCCAGAGAGGAAGAAGATGGTGGTGAGTCACTGATGGGTTTTGAAGTTGACTGGCCAGCAAGAACTTCAGTCAGATTAGGTGTTGCACTGCAATTATTCTGCAGAAAGAAGGCAATATGAGGTGGACACTTCCATTACACCCAACTGTGTGGTATGCTGTGGTTTTCAGTAGTGGTGAGTGATTGAGAGGAGTAGAGGAGAAAATGCCACAGTGATGCTGCAGCTGAATATGTGGTATCATTAAGTTATAATGTGAAGAGCCGAGATACACTGCATTTTCTTATCTAATACACAGCTTTAAAAGAAATAATCTGACTTAAATTAAGAAAAGATCATTATCTTGTTCAGTTACAAATACACTTACCAGACTCTGGGAGTGCTGGTCATCTGGGAATGACTTATTACACCTCAGACAAATATTGTCACTGGCACCTTCAGAATGATCAAGTTGAGAAACAAAATACAGATATGAATCATCTAGATGGGCTGCTTACATCCAGTTGTGGTCACTGGTATTAGGGAAACCCATGAAGTTGATTCCACTTGTCAAGAAGGAATTAGAGTTCTGACTTAATTTTGCTTTTGGCTTTGCTCAAAATCAATCCAACATTCCTTCTCAAAAACTTAAGGATATTTGCCCCTCCTGCACCCTGTTTTATGGCTCAGGGTGGTTATATCCTGCTTCAGCTGAGCTAATTCTTGGCCAGGACTTTGTGTATCCCTGTTACGAAGGATTTTTCCCCCAGTAGTGTATTTTACCAACCACCAACTGGTTCCTGTTATTTTCTGGACCACTGTCAGGATTTGTGAATATTTTGTTTTTACATATTCTATCCAGTAGCTTAGGCCTAATAAAGCTGCTCTCGACTTTAAGAAATCAGTGGCTTTAGATATGAAGTGAGAGGGAATTCTAAATCAGTTTTTCTCTGTGTAACAAGTGTAAAGAGGAAGCTCCACTTATTTTCCAATAGAAGGATTTTCTTTTCCAGATTATAATGGTTGCACAGCAGGACATACACAGTGAGCCAGCAATCAGCAGAATCACTCTGGCTTTACAATAACTGGCATAATAGAAAAAAATTACAGTGTCATTAAGGTTGGAGAAGACCACTAAGATCATCTAGTCCAACCGTCAGCGCAGCCCCACCATGCCCACTGTCCCTCCGTGCCACATCTCTGTGTTTCTTGTGAATCTGCATGGACAGTGGCCTCCCCACCTCCCTGGCAGCTGTGCCAGTGCCTCATCACTCTTTCTGAGAAAAACGCTCGGCCCCTTCACTTTAACTGGTTAAACAACAGAATCCGTCAGCCTGCACAACTGAGAACTGTAGAGGTGGCAGGAAAATTTTCATTGACATTTAACAGAAATGAATCAGTCCATAACAATGAGAAATTTTACTCACCAGTGGGCTCAATAGATTTTGCATTAGCATATGCTTCCTTGGTTTGAAAGTTCACATCATTGTAATAAGACAGACCAGTATTGCTGAATACTTTGGCAACAAAAATTACATCTGACCTGCAAGTGAAATATACTGCAGATCACTGGGAGCATAAGAGGATAGCTGTGCTTTCATATGTTGTAAACACAACTTATATTTAAGCTGCTGATATTTTCTTATATACAAATATAAATATATAAATAAATGTATATTATAAATAATTACATATATAAATAAAGTATATATATTTATACCTACGTATTTATATTTTATGTATTATATACACTATATATATACATATATTTTAAATATACTGAAAATATAGTTAAGCTGCTGAAATGATCTCTTTGTCATTTTTATCCCAATCATCAAGAAGCTATTGGTGAATTATTTTTTCTCTTCAAGCCTGAGCTATGTTTATGTGATTCTGAGGAAAACATACGTCTTATGATTCTGCAGAAAGTTGTCACTCTGTGCAAGGACCCAGTTCTGAAAAGCCTCAGGTGAAATGCAAAGTCTGTGTTTGACTTCTTTTACAGAAGTTTAACTTGAAAGTGTAGGGCTGATATTCAGTTAGTCTAAAACTTATAAAGCATATTAGTTTTCTAGAGATCTGCCACGGGAGCTACTCGTGTAGCTGCACAAGTAAAATCAGTAGAATTGCTAAAACAATGAAACTAGTGAAATGGAATCTAAAAATCATGCCTGGGTATTCACACCTCAATATAGTACCTCTAGATAGAGGATTCCTAATGTTATACAAAAAATGTTGTGGCCTCACATTATGTAAAGTTGATAAATTCACTCTGCTTGTTCAGTTTTGTTTAAAAACGAGTACTGATATAATTTTGTACAAGGTTTATATCACATCAGATATTGTCTGTCTTCCTCAGTTCAGATCTTTTAAATTCATGCTACAGCAGGCACTGTTTGGTGTTCCATAGTTGAAATAATGCTAGAGTAATAGCCAACAGAAGGCATCAGCTTTGTACTGCATGCTCTGGCTAGTTCACAAGCAACAGACAAATGTGTCCATACCTGATCCGTAATTTGCTTCGCTTGGAGAGCTGGAATACTATTGTGTAAGCTGAATTCTCTTAACCTGCCTGTGCAATAGTATCAAAAGATGCTATAACCAGGCCTGAAGAGTCATGTCAGACCCTTTCAGATTTTCTGCTCAAACAATTGTAGAAATTCAAATGTAGTTAATAGAGGGCACTGTAATATGACTGTATTTCAAGGTTGGCAGAGCTTTATACTGATCGCAAGAAAATGGAGTATTTCTTTCCTGCTTGTGTGCTTCTGTTTGATGGTCTTTCATATTCCTTCTGGCAGCTGGTTCATCACATTCTGAACAGAGAGTGAGAAACTGCAAGCAGTGAGCCTCATGGAGGGAGAAATTGGCAGCAGACACATCTCGTTTGCTACCAAGAACAGAATGGGAAAGAGAGAAGAGTAATGAACCAACGTGGTGGGTTGATCCTGGCCAGCAGCCAAGCACCCACATAGCTGCTTGCTCACCTCCCTGTACACGCTGGAGTGAACCATGGACTTTTTGGCAGGATGGCAGGACATACTGGTGCCTCACACAAGACAGTCAGTGATGGTCACGGGAATACAGCAGCTAGACCTTCCTGGCCTATAAAATCAGGAAGGTTGCCTGAAAGGACATGCACACTTCCAGCTCTGCTGTTTAGAGAAGGCATATGAGGCACAGTAGCTGATGTAATCCGAGTTTTCTGCTTTGGTCCTTGTTCCAAGCTCTGACATAACATCTGGACACAGTCTACCCAGCACATTTGGTGGTTTCTCATTGCGGATGGAAAGGCCAAGATGAGGCAACATAAATTAGCAACAGCCTTTCCCAAGCCCCAAGCCTAAGCATAACAACACCCCCACCTGGGGCAGCCAGAGCAAAATAAGTCCAAGAGGAAAAAAAGTGAACTCTTGTAGTTTTCTTAGGGAAGATAAGTAGCCCTAATGAAATCAGCCCTAGACATCAGCAGAAGTTTGTCATGGTCGAGATGGATGAACAATTAAATGGATTTGCTATCTGAATGAATTTTTAAGAAGTTACAAGGACATCTATCAGAAGTTTTACACAAACTTCATTCAGAACATCCCCTACAATCTTTCAGTATAAAATGGTTAGGCTCTCTTTGTGAAAGATTGTGCACTGGTTTTCCTTTGTGACCCAATAAAATTGAGGTTATCCTATTCTTCTACCTCACTAAGTTTTAAATCTCCTTAAATCTCTTTTTAAACGCAGTGTTTCACAGTCTTCATTCTCATAATACGCCCAGTGACCAAGATACTGGTTGAGATACATCAGTTGACGCTGCTTTCATGGCCGATTTTAGCCTTGTGTTTTAACCCCAATAAAGATGTCGTTTCAGTTAATTACAAACGTAGCAACATAAGGGAGCATCAGTCATGAGGGAAAACTGAGACAACTGCAGTGTTCGGCATGGTCTGTGCACTGACTCCCCTGTCAGGTGCTGTAAAATTACCCACTATGATATTATGTAAAAAGAGAAAATGAGCCTTCTGTACTGCAGCAGAGGAAGGACTACAGTAGAAACCTCTCCACAGGAAAGCAGCAAATAAGTAATGTGAAAATGCATTAAAAATCCTTTTTGTTTGCAACTTGGTAGCTAGCATACAACCCTCCTGCTCTTTGGTTCTTCCTCTTCTCCCCCCCTCTATTACAGGAGACACAGATAACATAAGGAAAATCCTGGAAGCCTCTGCATATCCCCGTGCTTTGAAGGGGTGAAGAGGGAGAAAGATCTCTTACCAATTTTTGCAGAATATGGTCCCTTCAGTCATTATTTTTCTTGTTATTCTGCTGGATATCTTTTCTTCTAAGAGCAAAGGAAAAAAAAAAAAGAAACTGAAAGCATCTGTTGCAATAACTCCAGTAACTCCACCCAGAGTCAAAAAAAAAAAAAAAAAAAAAAGGCTTTAAAGAATGAACTGCAGTAGTGTCAGACAAGCATGAGTTTTTCACATGAGTTCCACATACAGATTACCTTAGTGGTCCTTAGAGGAACCGTGAGGGACATCTTTCCTTCATTTCCAAATACATTTGATGGCAGTATGGGGTGTATACAGCAGGCAGGGTTGCTCTCTGAAGCTGACTGATGCAATTGGGGATGAAGCTGTTCTCCTGCCCTGCTGCAGGGGGGTGGAATGACACCAGCTGGCCTCTACTCCACAGTGCCCACACTCCTCTGCCCTCTCCTGCCCACTGCAGGTGTCCATCAGGGACACAGAATTTCCTGAGGAGGAAGGTGGGAAGCTGCCCACCCACGCCTTGTGTCTTAGAGGTCCAAGTGGCAGTTGGATCCTCTCTTCATCAGAACTGCACAGAGAGGCCTCTGGGTCCAGACGACCTCCATAACTCCTTCCTGCCCAGTGCAAACAGGGCCACAGGGCAGCATTTTCTCTCTGTGCCTGGAGTGGTAATAACCACAACCAGCTCTGAGGCCCCATCGCCCCATATCACTCTGTAGCTGTGCTGACAGCAGCACAGGTGTAGCATCAGCACCTGCTTGCAGGTATTGTGGCAGCCCACCTGTGAACTCACCCCAGTAATATTTTGCTGATAACTATGACATCACAGCTTACAAGGTTGTAGTCTGGATGGTTGCCAGCAGAGAGGGATAGGCAGCAGCACAATACAAAGCCTAGGGACTGCAGGCAGGGGGCACCCCCGGTTAGCAGGGCTGCCCTGCAGATGGTGGGCTCCACCTGCAGTGGTCTGTGTCCCTGGGTTCCATGCTTTGTCACAGCCTGGCTGATGTCACCACGGCCACTGTTTTCTCAGCATGTTTTGGTCAAAGAGCTACAGGGCCTTTGCTGCATGGTTGGTTTGCAGCAGGCAAGGAGGGCTGGGGTATGCTGTGCCCCCCCTCCACCTCTGGAGCGGCAGTTTCACTAGCATCCAGCCTTACAAACCCATTTCAAACCCCTGGGGCTTGTCCAGCCAAGTCAGAGCAGTTCTCGTCACAAACAAAAACTGCCAGTTGGTGGAGAGAAAACATTTGCCCACCAACAGCACAGGCAGAAGCCCAGCATTGGGCTGACAGCCCCACCTCACTAAGCCTTTGCAGCAGGGCTGCTCACACAGGTGCAGCAAGTCCTGCCCATCAGTTGATCTCAGCTGGGGGCTCATGCAAGTGCACAGTTTTACACAGAGATCTTTTAAAGGAATGTAATTTAGAGAGAAACAGAATTTTCTATCTTCATTTCAATACCAGTACTCATCTCCAGGACCTCATGATGAAGGCCTAGCATTTCTTGTACCTGTTATTGCAACTGATACTTCACAGAAGCGTGATATAAGGAGCTCTTCCCTGATGCTATAGATCCTCCCAGGTATGGAACTGTAGGTACAGGAGATGCAGAAAATAGAAGTTTATGTTCTCTATCTATAAAACAGGGCAATAATATTAACACTTCTATTTCGTAGAGGTATTGGGAAGAATCATTCACTAGTGTTTGTATAATGTACTATAATGGTGCATACAACAGATGACCCAGATGTTAGTAAGAAATTGGTCTGGTTCAGTTCCCATACCAAAAAACACTCTCTGTCCCCCATTTATTTCTGGGAAAAAAAAGGGACAAAAAAAAGTTGGGGAGGGGGAGGAGGGAGGAGAAAGGGAGGAAGAAAGGAAAAGAAAAGAAAGGAAAAGAAAAGAAAAGAAAAGAAAAGAAAGGAAAAGAAAAGAAAAGAAAAGAAAAGAAAAGAAAAGAAAAGAAAAAGATGATCAATTAAGGCGTGTGAGCCATTGTCTGGATCTGGGAATAATGAACATTTGTATGAATTTTGTGATACAAATTATGTAATGAAGCAGAGAAGAGTCTTTTGAACAAATATGTTAATGAGATGGCAGCTAAGGGAGAGGTTATAGGATTGCCAATTCCAAATCAAAGATTTTATTTCATTTTCTTTTCTTTTCTTTACCCTTTTTATTTTTTGTAGTCATTAGTCTACACTACTTTTTATGTGGTGCACATTTTAATATGCTTTAGGGCTTCTTGCAAACTATATGAGAAATACCAATTCTAGGTCAAGAATGCCCGATCAGCAACACACACTGACTGAGAAAGCCCCACTGACTCAATATTCATAATGAGGGCTTTTATGTAGAGAGTTGTTGGGCACAGGGTTTGTACTGAAAGGACTGTTCGTTCAGAGTCTGAAAAGCTTTTCTTGGAAAAATATCAGATGCTCCACTGGGAACTTAGTTGAAAGATATTCCTAAAGCAGCAGAGTGGACTGTCAGTGGCTGTGAAAGTACTGACTGGAGGAAAAGCAGAAAGTAAGGAAGCAGTGATGTTTGCTGAATGCTGGAAATAACTCTTTCAATTTAAATTCTGTGTAAACTTACAGTACATAACATTATTGTACAAGACCTCTTCTAGGCATCATTTTAATGCAAGCTTCAAATAGAGGTAAGTTCTACTCCAGCTGCTTTTTAAAATGAGATTTTCAAAAGCCTCTGTAGAAGACTGATGTTTTTCTGCTGCCCTAGAATGCCTTAAAGTGAGCTGTTTTGCTTTTTCTTTCTCAGTGCCAAGTATTAGAGGTCTTATAGTCCTCATTTAATATAATTTTGTTAAACTTTTGTACCTCTGTGTGTTGCATGGAGCCTGCAACACTGAAATAACTTAAAAATGAAACTGTGAAGTGTTTTTTGTCTTGAGAGGAATAGCAGCTATCTAGATCAAATAGATTGCTTTTTAAACAAGCAAACTGTACTTGTATACTTGGACAGCATCTGAATTAAAGGCAGAAAATACATTTATCTGTAATTCAATGTATCACCTGCTTTCTGTAAAGCCTCCTTCCCACAAACTATTCGTATCCAGCAATACTGAGACTAATTGCTATGAATGGTAGTAAGAAAAATCAGAAAAGTAGCTTCTATACTAAAATTTTTATTTTTCATTTTTCCTACCTGGATGGTTGATCCTGGAATTCCTACTTCCCAAGGAAATTCGACACATAGTCCCTTTCTACTAACCCAAACAATGCAGGCCAGTGTTTGTTAATGAGCCTCCAGCAGTGTCCCACTTCTGAGTGAAACTCTGTACAGTGACTCACACTGTATGTAAATGCCATCTGTTCTGGTATCTATAATACAGAAAGGAAGATCACAAGGCTCTGCATGTTGTTGACAGTGTTGCTAAGCTCATCCATGAATCTGCTGTCTCTAAAGGAGCTGACTCTGCCTCTGTTACTGTTCCCACTCAAGCTTATAACTGGCCCAGTCTCTTGAGCTGGCTCTGGAGCTCACTGAACATATTCAGCTCACTAACTCAGCAGAAAACTCTGCTTTTTTTGTTGGGTTCATTTTGTGCTACATCAATCGAGAGAAGACTCCAATGAGTCCCAGTACAACTGGCTAAGAAGCTGCAGGTTATGCCATCAGGTGAGCTTGGCCAGTTGCTGGTAATGATCGGCCGTAAATTTGGATTTTCTGAACTCAGTTTATCCCTCCCTTTCTCCTTCCAAATGAACCCCCTTCTGCTAAACAGTCAATATATAAACAGCAGAAGATAATAAATCATATTTACATTGATCTGTCAGACAAAGTGAACTCTATCACTAAACCTCTAGAGTTAACTCCTTCCATTTTCTCATTCAAGTGCTTTTCTTTGTTGACTAGGGAGTATTTTTCACTGGAGACCGGACACAGGAATGCAGGTTTTGGCTGATTCCTCACTTCCTGCTAGGCTCTGTGCTGGTGTGAAGTTTCCTCTCTGTTGGTAAGTAACCCAGTGGGATTGCTGCTAAAAGGTTGAATATTTGGAATTTGTACAGATCCGGTTTGCTACTGTTTTCCTTAATGAACACTCATTGCTTTTACAAACAGAACAGTAACACTGGAGTGTCTTGCTTTGAACTTCATACACTCAAGATCCTCCACTCAACAGAAGACAAATAGCGTAATCCATAGTTGGAGCTCCCCCGTTACTTGCTGTAGAATCTGAAATTCTTTATATCTGAGAGTAACTGCTTGATATGACTGTACAGAGTTCACACAATCAAATTGTCATCTTTGCTGCTTTCCATCTCAGGTGGCTTTTGTCATCACAGAAGAATTCTTTGTCTGGTGCCCAGTCCCTCCCTTCTCCACTCCAATCATTTCTTTCTGCCATGACAGCAGTGCTTGCCATCCTCTCAGTAGTGCTGTCACTTCTGATTTTGTATAGGCTAAACTAACCCTAACCCTAATCACTGGAACGATACAGCTTAAAAATAACTTTTTTTGTTAACCTTTCTGGGATATTTTTAACCCAGATCACGGACACAAAATCTCTCATAAAATGATAGGCAATGAAACACAACCATGCATGCCTGCACAGGCCTTTGTTTTAGGGAGATCCACACTGCAGGATTAACTCCGCATTTCCCCAGGGGAGCTCTGCTCTGTCCTTCCCCGCCGCTGTGTAAATGAGAGATGGTCCTCCCTTGCCATCAACTTGTGCATCCAGCACCTGAAGAAGTCTAGGCAAGGATTTGGTCCTGCAGGTAACGTGCAATAGGAGAATCAGTGGTCACTGGTGGCTTTTTACAGGCACTATGAACAGAGAGATTTTCCTGAACATTCTCCCAGTTGGGGCGATAATTTGGAACACGGCTATCGAGCTGCTTTCCTTGTTTGCTGAGAGGAATGGAGCGAGGGGAAAGCCCCCCTTTATGGACGGGACCCCATAGAGACCGAGCTGGTGGATTCGACCTCGCTCCGGGTCCCGCCGAGATCTCCCAGCTGTCGGACAGGAACTGCGCACACCTGCTTCGCGTCCCCTAGGGCTGCCTGTGGGAGGGGGGAACCGCAGGACCCGCTTGACCCCACTCGGTGGGGCGGGTGCGGGGCAGGGCAGCTGGGCTGGCGCCCGACGGCATCTCTCCGCCCGCTGTCTCGCTCGTGGGCCGCGTCCGCACCGCTCTGCGCAAGCCCGGCCCCGTCCGGGCGCGGGCGGACCTGGTGTCCCGTCAGGGCGCGGGCGGGTCGCGTCGCCCCCCGCCATGTCCCTCCCGCTGCGGCCCCGCCGCCCACTACTTAAAGCGGCGGGAAGCGGGTGCCGTGCCGCTCGCGCCCTGTCCGCGTCTCTCCACAGAAGATGGCCTCGACGTGCCCACGGCCCCTGCTGAGGTACCGGTCCTTCGCCATCCTCTTGCTCGCACCGCTGCTGCTGCTGCCGCTGCCGATCACTGTGCCCACGCGGGTAAGTGCCTGCGGGTTCCGAGCGGGGACCCGCTGCCTCAGAGGAACCCACCCACACTCGGCCCCCAGGGCCGAGCCCCGCAGCTGCCCCTGACCCAGCGCGGCAGGCAGGCGCGGTTCGGGTTCGTGTGGGGATTCCCCCGGAGCGGGAGGTCGCTGTGTAAAGCGCTGCCCGTTCGGTCCCTGGCGCTATATCTCCCTATGCCACCTGAGTGGCCGCTGAAGTAGCACCTTCCTGGCACCGTCTCAGAGGAGTTTCTTCACAGTTCAATTAGCCTCTCAGTCCTGGGTCTCAGGGATGTGTTCTACTGCTTTTGCTCCTAATCATAGAATCATAGAATCACCAAGGTTGGAAAAGACCTAAAAGATCACCCAGTCCAACCGTTCACCTATTCCCAATAGCTCCCACTAAACCATGTCCCTCAACACAACATCCAGTCTTTCCTTGAATGATCTTCAAGTGGTGCTGGTGCTAGGCAGTGGAGCTCACGTAAGAAGCCCAAAACAGGAGCTCCATGCCCATTTGTTCATCCAAAGGAATATGCCAGAGTCTGGGCTCCCACAGACCCAACCCATCTTGCAAACTGGGTACAATTCTTTTTGACCCAGAGATAAATATATACACATAGTTGGCTTGGATGTGTAGAATTGCACTCGAGGTTATCTAGGAATAACTGTCAGTGAGGAGTTAGGGGACTGAAAGGGGGGACTTCTGGGCTCTTTAGGCCTGCTGCTGAGACACTGAGATGCTTTTAAGAATGCTCCTGAGTGCCATTCTTCATCCAGTGAAGCACTAGGAAGCCGTGCACTATGTGTTATGTAGTGATTATAAGATGGGTTTGAATGTAATGTACTCCACATCCCTCTTCCTCTGGTGATGGGGGGGTCTCATAGCTCCTTTGGTTTCAGTGCAGTTACACCAGCATGGAGCTGGAATGAGCTACCAAGAGTTTTATCTTTAAAACCTTGTAGTTCTTGGGAAAATGTGAAACCTCTGTTCACAGTATTTTCACCTACTAAGGCTTTAGCTATTCTAGGGCTAAATGCAGTCTTTCTTCTGGGTGTAATGATCCATATATTTTAAACTACAGGAGGAGCATTATGCAGGTGTATTTTAAACCTGTTTACAAACAAAAAAGAAAAAAGAAAAACCTTTTGGCTTACCTGTCGAATAACAACCTTGCTCTTCACTTGAATGCTGGTGCCTTGAGGAAAGGTATTTCTGGCTGTTTGGCACTATTGTGATCAATGCTAGGACAATTTCCTGGAAAAAAAATAAATAAAAAGAAAAAAGAAAACAAAGAGAATATTTCTTCAGTTTTCCAGTAATTGTAGGAATATTGTGTCATCAATCTTATCTGGAAAATTACAATATTACGCAGTGGGAGAGTACCATTTCCATCAGTAGCTGCTTTTCAGCTCTCAGTGAGAAAACTAGTCATAGTGATTGCTCTGGGCTGTCCAGACACACCAAGGAAATATTTTTTCACTATTCCCATAAATCACAGATGTATATAGATGTGGATACACCTACTTATTTAATCTCAGAACTTTGGCTGTTCATCTAGCTGTAGACGTTTGAGTTAATTTATAAACATGGTTGTATTTTTGAACTTCACGTAAATTATTTACTCTCCACTGTACAAAACCAGCTTTTTCTGTATTGTGTTATTTAAAGTAATATTCTCCTAGAGTAGTTTGTGTTCATCTTATAAAATAAATTAACTACAGTATCTTCTTGCACTTAGTTACTGTTGTACAGCTTAAATTCAATCATAAGCTCACCTCACATTTATCAAGGAAAGAAATTAAAATAGGATCTGTCTGATATCTTCTAGTCTCTAATAAAACATTTCTTTCCAAACTTGTCCTGTAATTATTCTCCTCTAAACCTGAAAAAAAAATTACTTACAAGGACTGTTTTCTAATTCTTCAACTCCTCCCTGTTTATAAATACAACCTTACAGCAATTTTTAAATATCACTGTAACACCATTTATTTTTGCAATAAAGTCCCATTTGTGCATTAGAATCAGATCCTATAAACACGTACCCTAAATATGAACAAACTGTGAGCAAAATGCTTTAACTAAAGCTTTAAAACATTGTTTACTGTAGGCTAATGAATGCTTGCTTCTCCTAACGATTTTGAAAGTACAAACCAAGGAAGCCTAGGTTAGAGAAATGTGTGACCAGTGGTATAAAGAGTCATGTTACAGCAGGATGAGGGAATCCTCTTACTAGATAACTTATTAGAGAATTAGATCCCTTGTTAGATAAACACAGTATGATTTGGGAAAGCAAGTTAATATCTCATATATCCTTAACTACTCAAAAAAAAAAGTTAAGAATTCTAAATGGTAAGAGTTATAGTTCTAAATTGTTCAGTGAGTTTCTGGGTTCAAGTGTATTACTAAGACACACTTCAAATACATCTGAATGTCAATCAGTCTTCTCACCTATACTAGGAAATACTCACCTATTAGCATCCATTTAAAAATAGATTACTAAAAATAGAAATGCCCAAATCTTAAACACCGTTAGAAATTCTTGGCACCTGGGTGTGAAATTTGCTTACCTCAACTGCCAAGAGGTAATTGCACGCTGCAAACTGTACTTACCTAGCTGTGGAAGATTTGTTTTTTTTTCTTGCCCTACATTTTACCTAAAGGCATTAGAAAACACACGATGGTCAAAAAGACTTTTTATGCAACTGAATTCTGAGCAAGACTTAAAATGTACAGATTTAATTCTTTGTGTCCTTGCTACCTATTTCTGTGTAACTTGTTAAGCTACAGACAGTTGAATCTTTGTTTCCCCTTAGAAGAGATAGCAGTGTGTTTCTTATCTGTAAGAATAGTTTTCTATACTTATATGTCTTCCATTATATTGCAGGAAGCCAAATGCGCATATATCATCATCATCATGGCTGTGTACTGGTGCACTGAAGTTATCCCACTGGCTGTTACTTCCCTAATGCCAGTTGTATTTTTCCCTCTGCTTGGAGTTCAGAGCTCTAAATCAGTAAGCAACAGTTCTTACTCCATCCATATCTGATAAAAGGATATCCATTGATCTGATCCCTCACTGATAGGAAAGCACTCAATTTCTGGGGCTGTTTTTGAGCATGTTGAGCAGGGTTCTGGTATGGGAAGATGCTGAACCGAATATGTACTTTCCCAAAATATTAAGGATGTGGGGCTTGTGGTGGTAGAGGGAAACGTCCTCTGGGCATGGATCCTGATGGAAAACATCCCAATAATGCCAGGAGTTTGTATGTTCAGAACCCACCCAGTTGGAGAGCATTGCTAACATCTTCTGGGAGATTTCAGAATGCATGAGGCAAACTTCCCCTGGCAGGGTAGACAGTACAGTGCCAGCAAGTACACTGTGTCCCCTCTGAAGCTCACGCTGCTAAAGGATAATTGGCTGTTTGTGCTAGTGGAAGAGTAGTGCTTTAGCCCGAGCGAGAGACACTACATTTAGGTACTGTAGCCCAGGTTTACTATTGGCCAGCAATGGTTAGGATGGGTGAGGTTGTTAGAAGTTCTGGGAAATCTATTTTGGAATTTGGCATTTCTGGTATCTTTAGTGCTGTTCAGCACTAAAAAAGAGAATCAAGAGTTCCAGAATCTGGAGGCAGTTCTAAGGCCACTGCTCTTTCTGACAATGTTGGGGTGAAGCCTGGTGCACTAAATGGCTTTGAGAGGAAGGCAGGAAATACTAGTGAAACTAGCAAGTGACAAGATTTGATCCTCTGATCTATCTTCTTTGTCTTACAGGTGTGCTTGCAGTATCTAAATGACACAAATATGCTCTTTGTTGGAGGGCTGATAGTTGCAATTTCTGTTGAACGGTGGAATCTTCACAAAAGGATTGCGCTGAGAGTCCTGCTGATACTTGGGGTGAAGCCTGCACTGTAAGAATGTTACATTAGCTCTTCTTTACCTGTGTCAGTTTAGCAGAGACCTAGGTATGATGTTTGAGAGTCAGCACAGGAGAGAAGTTCCAAGAAGCTCTTTTGCTCCACTTGTACAGAGTTTCCAGAGGTGAAATCTTCTGCAGGATCAGTTAATTTGCCCTTTATGCAAAAACATAATAATGGTAGGGCGCCTGTGACTGCTGACTTGAATGGCATGAAAATACTTTCATTTTTATACCAGCTCCAATCTCTACAGTCTCTCACATTTCCTCTTGGGTCCATAGTTTGATTCTTGGATAAGATTATTGAGTGGAATTCAGTTTTCAAAACACAAGCATTTATTTCTGATTCAAATAGCTAGACTGTCTGTATAGTCAAAAAGGCTTGTCTATAGTAGGGCAGATGATTCATGCACAAGAAGTTCTTATCAACTGCGAAGCAGTAAGTATCTGAGTGGAATCCAAATACCTGTTTGTTCCTGTCTGAAGACAGGTGAGATAAATCTTTCTCTTTTTGTTTTACGCTGAATCTCTGTACAACCACAAGGCTATGGTTTCATCTGTATTGTTGCTACCCAGCTGATCTATTATTGTGTGTGCTGGCATTCACAGTTCCTATGAAATCTTTTTATCATGACTTGAAGTCATCACTGAGGCAGCATCACCACCAACATCTGTGTGAATGGAGATATGGTCCTCACCTAAAAGCCATGTGCTCCTTCTGTCATGCTTAAGTGATGCCAGTTACACAGCCAGAAGTGTTGCAAAGGTGGTGGTGGTGAAGAGCATCCAGTATCCATTAGTTTGCATCTACAGATAAAGCCAAGTTTACAAGATGCAAAAGCAGTTTTCAGTCACAATGACAATAGGCAGGAAAGAAACACGGTTTTATAGTTCACTTCTACAGAGCTGCCATTTCATTTTATTTTAATCTGGATAAATTCTGTGTTTTTGCTACTGGGAACAAGGTGGTGCAGACTTAATCATGCATAGATCAAGCAGCTAAATGCCTTTCGTGAATTCTTTCAATGAAGACGGCAGAGCTAGAAGGGAATTGTCTCTGCTTTGTATTATCAGAGACTACACACATCCCTGTCTGGACTCTGCTCTCTAAATTAAAGTAACTACAAAGCCTTGCAGTGTCTATTTTTTCCTCCTTTCTCCTCTCCTTGTTTCTCTCTTTTCAGCCTCATGCTGGGGTTTATGATAGTCACTGCCTTCCTGTCCATGTGGATAAGTAACACAGCAACCACTGCTATGATGGTTCCCATTGTTCAGGCTGTCCTGGATCAAATGGACAACACAGAAAATGATGTGACCATGATGGAACAAGCAACTGGCCAAACAAATACAGTGATTGAGCTGGAGGAAAAGAATGCATCAGATCCCACTCCAGTGCAGGGTAAGGGCCTGCTAAAGGAATGAACTGATTCTACTGAATTTGTTACACTCAGAGCTCACATGTTGAGTTTCTCCAATTTCACTGCTCTGTTGTGCAAGTACAGAGGGCTATATTATTAAATACTATTAAAAATCAATCTGTGATGCCTTTCTCTTTCAGAGAAGGGAGAAATGTTTTGGTGATTTTCATGGACGTGATTTCATGGAATTAGTAGTTTGATCAGCCATGATTCCCTGTGAGACTGTGTACAAGAATGAGTTCGGAGATTGGTAGTGAATACCATGCCCCACACTTCAAACCTTCTGCCTGGGACAGAAGGATTATGTGTCTGTGGAAGATGCAGTGTATAAGGCAGTTCACGTGTGCCAGTCATTGCCCTGTTATGATATTGACTCAATTGCCATATTTGTTTGGACTTTGGAAGATAGCTGAGATACAACAGCAATCTCTGCTTTTTGGTTGTGTGATGTCTTGCCTCACTAGTGAAGGGAGAATGCATAATTGTGCAAAGCTCAGGCACAATTGCATGTGTTTATGTAACTCATGCAAGTCAAGAAAATACTAATAGGTTAGAGAGTACTCTTCAGGCTTTGTCATTGCTAGCTTCCAAACAGTTGTATTAACATAATTTTTTAAGTTTGCCTAGCTGTTTTTAGTGTTTATTTTTGAGTCTCAAAAACTTCTGCACTTAGACTAGAGTTAATAATTTTGCTGGATTTCTGTGCACTTAGAAGGAACTACTTGGCTTTGCTACTTTATTTCCATCTAACATGCAATGAAAGCAACAAATTTGAGTGAAGAATACCCTTGGCTATTGTTAAATTATTTGTAATTGCTACACATTCGTTGTCTCACTCAGTCAGACTTAAGGATGAAATTGTTAATCTCAGAGCAGAATGGGCACAGCAGCAAAATTTCACATTGATCTAAACAGTTTGTGCCAGGCCAGAATTATGTTTGGGGTGGTTTTGGTTTTTGGGTTTTTTTGTTTTGTTTTGTTTTGTTTTGTTTTGTTTTGTTTTTGGGGGTTTTTTTTTGGTTGGTTGGTTTTTGGTTTCTTTTTTTTGTTTGTTTGTTTGTTTGTTTTTTCTGTCATATTTGCAGCTGCTTAAACTGCTTGAGTTCTTACTGTGGTATTGAAAGGATTCTCATGACTACAGTTTCTGGGTGATGGTAAGCCTCTCTGTGAAATAGGAAATTGCTGCTTAGAAACTGTGGCACCAAGATGGGCAACAGCATCCTTGGATCACGTAGAGCCGGATTATCAATCTTTCTTCTCAGCACCTCATGAACATAATGCTGAAATATTTGGGGAGTATTCTGTGCGGTTTTAAAGTTAAAATAATTGGCATGCACAAACTGGAAGAACTGAGTCTGCAGGACCTGACACGAACTTTACACCTTCCTAACTGCACCTGAGGCAAGTTATGTTCTTTGTATTTAGTCATAAGCAATGGACAAGTTCCTGATGGCACCAGATCTTCTGAGGAAAAGAAAATGAAGAAACGTATATGTAAGGGAATGACACTGTGTGTGTGCTATGCTGCCAGCATTGGAGGAACTGCAACACTGACTGGAACAGGGCCAAACATGGTATTGAAAGGCCAGATGAATCAGTAAGTCACTCTTGCTATTTCTTTACTTTCACTGCCACGCAGTTTTGTGACCGACACATTAAAAGTCATAGTAGCCATTTCAGTTATCAAACTATTCAGTAACCAGCTGATGAACTGAAAATAAGAAATGTGTGTAAAGTGATGGGCCATATTTTTCTGTTCTAGCGCTTTTTAGATAGCTGTGTGATAGATCTGAGAAACTTAGAATTACTTGTTGGTAATTGACAGCTGGCTGAATATGAGATACCGGTTCTTCTGCCTCCTCTTTTTCAAGTAAAAGGCAGCGCATGAACAGAGCAACTGCAGTGTGGATCTTGAAAAGAACGTATGATTAAGTCTTCTCATAAACAGACTGAAAAGTGGTAAAAATAGTTTAGCTGATGTTGTATTATTATTTCTCCTCCCTGTGGCTAAGTAAACTGTATAGATATTGTTTTAAAAGAAAGGAGCTATCCACAAAATAATCTTTTCTAAGATGGGAACTGTTGAGTCACAGCCTCAGCCACTGATGGAGAACCTGGGGAAAGGACCCAGTCAGCTCTGGGAGCACAGGTGAAGGTAATTCACCTGGATGACAGGAAGGGGTGGAGCTTGGCTGCACCTCTCTTAGACCTCATTTGAGGGCTGGCTGCCACTGGGGAAGGGTCTCTTTTTGGAGTTTTCTCCTTGGGGAAGCTTTCTGTTGTGAACTCAGACTCTTCTGATAGGGGTAAGTGATCTTCTTTCCTTCTTTTATAGACTTTTTCTATTGTGCTGGTCCTTCTGTTATCACACCTGTGTAGTAACGCTTTTCCCACTGTATGAATTTATCTAATTGCTGCAGGAATTTATTTAGATGCGACCTTCTCCGCAGTGAAAATTCTGTGGACTCCTCAATGGTTGCTCAATGTTCCATCTTTCTACTGGAGTGCTTGAACTGGAGCAGCTATGTTATCCATTGGTTTTATTACCTGCTTGAGAACTTGCTATTGCTATTTCTTCTCCAGGGGTAGATGTAGGGAAGAACAGAAAGTTGTTCATAAAACTCTGGCTTCAGTCTTTTGAGCTAAGTAGCAACTATGTCTTCTGCTGAAATGAGCAGAAGCGCAGCTATTAACTTCAAAAGAACATTCTTGTTTTCCTATTAGTTAAGAAGGGGGAGGAGGAAAGAAAAAACACATCATGGAATAAATGACCAGATGGAGAGATCTTTCAGCAGTGCTTGTCTTACTGTGACCTAAAATGTCAGCATGAGCTCTCCTTTTAAAGTAGCTTTAAAGTAGGATGTAGGGAAAATTATCACATTATCACAGTATTTAATTTCTATTCTGAAATCTAGAGCTGCCTTTCTATTCAGTTAAGCAGTGAGTATTGCCTATGATTACTAGTAATGGTTGTCCCAAATGTACATGTCTAATTGTCACCACAGTGAAGTGAAGGCAGATTACTGACTGTTTTGACATAATACAGAAAACATTTTTCTTTTCAGATTATACCCCAACAATAATGATGTCCTGAATTTTGCTTCCTGGTTTGGGTTTGCCTTTCCAAACATGATTCTGATGTTGGTGTTAGCGTGGCTTTGGCTTCAGTGCTCTTTCATGGGATTCAAGTAAGCTTTTAACTACTTCATACCATTTAAACCATTCATCTAATGCAGATCAGGTCACTCGCAGGTTTCTGTACAAAACAAAAGCACTAGCGAGTTATTCATTCTGTAACTGGGAGCAGTTGCATTTCACAGCAGCTTTTGAAATCTGGAAACCTTTTATGTTTGGGGAGAGTCACACTAGGTAAAAGTGTAAGATGTTGTTAATGTTCAGACAGAATTGCCTTTATCCATTTAAAATCTGAGAATTTCAGAGCATGAAGAGCATGCCTATATGTTGCTGCCCTTGATTCAATACTGAGTTTTTCATACTTGCTTGCACCAAATTGGACAGACTTATGGACTCCATTTTTCTGTGAAAATTGGCACATGCATGTGGAATACTTTGACACTGCTATCATTTATCTGTTCCTGCCCTCTGCTTTAGTCTGTGCCTGTCCGGAGAAGGGACAGCTTCATTCTGGAAGGCATGGTAAATTCCTCTAGTATGTTAATGCTTACAGTGTTTTCTTCTCCCTTTTCTTAAAGCTTTAAAAAAAGCTGGGGATGTGGGACAGTGAGAACTGCTAAAGAAAAAGCTGCATACAATGTGCTGAAAGCAGAAATGAAGAAATTGGGCCCTATCTCTTATGCTGAGTTCAATGTCCTCGTAATGTTTGCATTGCTGGTTGTCTTGTGGTTTTCCAGACACCCAGGCTTTGTAAAAGGCTGGGCTAGCAGGGTCTTTCCAGAAGGAGAAAAGTAAGTTTTGAATTTTTTTCATCCTATACTCCCCTGGATGGGAATCAGATTCCCCTTCTCTTACATTCTGTTTTGACTGGGGGGGAGGGAGGAGGGGGAGGTCATTCATTCCAACCATATTTGAATTTGTGTTTGTTGGGCTGGATTTTCTCTCATGCATGAGATCTACAAACTACTTGACAGTTTATATTGCAATGAAGGCTAAAGACTGAGATGTGGGGCAGGCTGAGCTTCCTAAAGAAAGATAAAATTCTGCAATGCTTATCTCTGTTATGCAGAAGTACATGTCACTGTTTTCCTTGCATGTGTTACAATTAGCTGTGGTGTTCAAGTATTTGGTACTATCATCTCTAAAAAATGGCATGTATAGAAACCACTGGGAAATCAATTCTTTGCTTTGAATAGCTTCTTCAGCTGATGTTATGTAATGTGGCATATTAAGAACATAAAACTTGTGATAGGAAGATCTTTCAGGTAATTTTCTTTCAAATCCTTGGAATACAGTCTTTGAGTCTTGGCTTCTTCTCAGGGAGGTAACCCTGCCTACAGAAGCATTTTCATATGTGATTTTGATTAATAGTATGCGGATTTCATTTATGATGTTTGTGCTGTGGCAGGTCTAAGATACCTGAGTCATGAACTAGCAATCTGTTTTGCTAATATATAGACCCCAAATAGAATGACAAGGAACACTGATTGCAATGCTGGAAGGCAACCGTTTTCTGGAAGACAGGTGTCTTATTTTCTAAGCTATCTTCTCTTTTCTCCTTTAGATATATCACTGATTCTGCTCCTGCTGTGTTTATTGCCCTGCTGCTGTTCATCCTTCCTGCTAATAAACCCAAATTCATAGGCTGGAGTTCAAGCATGTCTGACACTGAACAGACTGAAGAAGGTATTTAAAAGAGGCATTGTAATGTTGTGAAAGTTACCCTATTCCAGCTAACATGTAGAAACATACTCCTGATTTGTGTGCGTTTCTTCAGGGTACTTCATTTCATGAACATCCTGCGCAGGGCTGAGGCAAGCACCCTGCTTGTATGTGTTATCCTTACTCTTACATGTGCAGGTTTCTCAGTAGCATACCTCTGCTGCTGGACCTTTCCCTTGTAACTTAAAGAACTGGAGACAAAATGGCTTCACTCTCCTGAAATATATTCTGCTTTTCATTTCTCACTTCAGATATTAAGAAGCCATTTTTATCAGCCCCGCTGCTGGACTGGAATGTGGTTCAGAGGAAGATGCCCTGGAACATTGTGCTGCTGCTGGGAGGAGGTTTTGCTTTGGCTGATGCAAGCGCAGTATGTTCTGATATTTATTGTTCTCTAACTCAGAGGTGGACTTGCCTGGTTTATTTTCCTGTCCTGTATTGCTGGGCATGCACCCAAAGGCAAACTCAGTAGAAATGTTTGCATTTGGAGGTAGATACAAATTCTCAAAAAATAAGAGAAAAGGTGAATATTTCTACCTCTTTTTCAGGAACTTGCATGCACTGATCAGGTTTGTCTAATTTATCTTCACTGGCTGCAGAGATAAGGAGAGCAGCCTTTCTTATTTCTATTGTCATCCTGATCCCATCCCTGACTAGAAAAAATAGAAGCATAAGAATTTAAAAAAAAAAAAAAAGCCCACTTCGTTGTGCTAAGATGCATCAAAGTCATAGCCTTAGGTATCAAGCGTGTCATGCTTTGGGGAAGTTCGTGTTCAGGTCTAAGTTTTGTGCCTAGACAATTCTTAAACAATGGGGTAAATTAAAGCTCTGGTCTGTTACATTCATTCACCATATTTATGTTATTAAAGTTCTGGAATATTGCAAGCTGTCTAGTCAAAGGCTCTGTAAGCACTTTGAATCAATTGCTGTGTTTTCATAACATAGAATACTCATACAGCCTTGTTATCTTCAGAAACGTTAAAAATTCATTGTAGGAACCTTGTGACTGATTCATGAAGTATTTGCAGTAGTCTCAGCAATAGTTATTTCTATGTAGTAAAAATATATATATAACCAAAACACGAACAAGTATTTTGGCTCTAGGAAAATTAGGGAAGCGTGGCTGAGTGTTTTGTCCAGTTGGCAAGGAATTCCTTTTAGTATTTGTGACAGGTTATTGAACTTTCATGAGGGGCAGTTATGCAATTTGTGAGCCACTTAGCATTATTTGTTAGGAACACTACCCATAATGAGTTTTCTGCTCCTGAGCCAGGGAGTCTAAACCTCGCTGAAAAAAATACTTTTTTTCTTATCAGAACTCTGGACTCTCAGGTTGGCTGGGTCGTCAGATGACTCCATTAGGATCTATTCCACCCTGGTCCATTGCAACAGTGCTTTCCCTTATTATAGCAGTCTTCACTGAATGCACCAGTAATGTTGCCACAGCCACTCTCTTCCTACCTGTCTTTTCATCCATGGTAAGATCGCTTCCATCTTGTTATGCTATCGACTGATCAGAAGTAAACAGTTTCTAGTGACAAAACATCACATTTACTTTCTCGTTTTTGTTTTTTTTTCCTCTGAAATCCAGTAATGAAATAGTCTATCTGACAGCATACCCTAATAGATATTGACTTTATCTGATGTTGGTAGAAAGAGTCAAATTTATATCTTTAAGACTACTGCTATATTTATAACATTGTAAGCAGGTGGGCAGTAGGAATACAGACTTCATCCAGTTTGTCCTATCCGTACACCTGAAGCCTGAGATACTGGCTTCTAGGGGAAGAAGCTAACTCAGGAAGCCATTTCAAGCCTGCCATAAGGAGCGCCCCTTGGCTGGGGAGGAACTGAAGAGAGAGTCACTTTTTTAATATAGTTCACTCTACATCAATTATTTCTGGTCACTTTATGTTTGAGCCATCAACTCAGAACTGGAAAATCTAAAGCAAAAAAATACTCACCAGTTTCCTCTATTAATCCTTTTGGAGGGATCCTTTATCTTCATCATTTACACTAGAATATGAAAAGTGGTGGGCTTGATCATTAGGAATACATTTTGTGTGTTAAGAAAGAACAACTTTAAACCTTAGGGAGAAAAACCTGGTAAGTTTTGCTATAAAAGCAGTTGCAATTGCTGCCTTTTCTAACCAGAATGGAAATGCAAGCATGAAGGAAAAAAAATAAGATATTTTGTTGTTTAACTTAGAAAAAAGTGGCTGTACTTTCCAAGTCATTTCATCAAGATAGAATTGTCCAAATAAAGGTGCTGTGCTCCTAGTCACTGCAGTTCTGAGTCCCACAAAGTTTATGTAATGTCTAAAAGTGTTACTCGCCATGCTTTGTAATTATAGTTCCATCCTTGTATTAACCCAGCAAATGCTCTAAAAATGCAACCCAAGGTCAAAGAAAAGATTGCTGGGTAAATTTGACCAGAACTCCAAATTATACTGTAGAGCAACAAGAAAGAATCAAGCATTCTTTTAAGTACTGTGGGGGAGAGAGACCAAAGTTATCTTTAAGTGCGTGTAGATTCCATAATAAAATGCTTGAAAATTACTCTGATGATGTAACACCAGGGAATTAACTGAACCTATGTGTCTTAGAGGTTTGGGAGATGTTCTCTTTTTCTTTGGAACACTTCTAGCATGATAATTGTCTTTGTTTTGTTGCAGGCTGTATCTGTCAAGATCCACCCTTTGTATGTTATGCTGCCAAGTACTCTGAGTGCTTCCTTTGCCTTCATGCTGCCTGTTGCGACACCTCCAAATGCAATAGTGTTTTCCTATGGCCACATCCGGGTTTTGGACATGGTAAGATGATGAACTGCCCGGTCTCTTGTCTGAAGTTCTCCATTGTACTTCCCCTGAAACATGACAAGAGTTTAATTTTCTTGTCCTAATATTTACAAAGTACCTGAGCACTCTTATGGGCTGTAACTAATAACTTATGCCCTTTTCTTTACTACTGTAAGGATTGGTGTCTCTGCAGCAATATCACCTTTCTCACAGACTTTGGCAGACATACTCTCTAGTCCAACTGAAAAGTCAAAGCTGACAAGTGTCTCTTAAACACCAAAGCATTAAAATGCAGCTGGTGCTTTCCAGTGTCTTCTGGGGCTTTTGCAAAGATAAATAAAAGACCTGAAAGTAGAAGGTAACAAGTCCAGTCACCCTGTACTTTGGTCTTCTGGTTGTACAGTACCAGGTTCTGCGCTGAACATCCAAACATTATCAGTTTTCTAACTGAAATCTTGAAGGGCATGGAAGCTACTCTTTAACTAATGCGAGCAGCTTCTTGAAAGTCTACTAAATCTCCTAGGCCTGTTGAACAGCAAAGCATTCAGTAGCTTTGGACAGTGCGTTCCCTGGTATTTCTATCTAAGCAAGAACATAGGGCAGTGGGTACTGTGGCTATTGCTGTGCTTTGACTATTTCTTTCCTTGTTCTTTTTCTTTTTCTTTCTTTTTTTTTTTTTTTTTTTTTGAATGAGCATGCCTTGCTGTAACTTGCTGTACTGTTATGTTGTTGTTCTTGTTGGTTTGAACTTTCATCCTTGTAGGTTAGGTCTGGAATAGTAATGAACATCATTGGAGTCTTCTGTGTCACACTGGCAATCAACACATGGGGAAGACCTATATTTGAGCTGGACACATTCCCAACATGGGCAAACAGCACAACTAATCAGTGAGCAATGAAGAATTCATGTTATACAAGGAAAGTCCCCATAATCCTACTTCCTGTTGCCGAAACATAGAGCCTTGTCACTGTTTCAGATCCAGTGTTAGATGCTACCTTCTGGGAGTCACACATCAGATCAAGTATGGACCAACTCATTACAGTCATGCTGGAGACAAATGTGCTGTTTAATTATGCAACCCTAAGGATGGTATGTTTGGATCATAAGTATGATCAAGTGATTCACTGCATTTTCAACCAAGGTCAAGAGTTAGAATTTATTTAACTTATGAAATAAAAAGAGGGTAAGCTGTCGTATCAAATAGTTTGGACTATTTTATCACTGGTATGTATCTGTAAATCATTGTCATTGGACCCAGTTAAGAGCTGACAATTCATTAACTGCTACATATCAACAAGTCAGCAGCTGTACAAAGAAATTCCCAACGTCACTTTTTTAAGGTAAAGTCTGTTATGTTTTAATCTGGATTCAACCTTGTGGTGAGCTGTCTCCAAGTCAGCATGCAAATGTTTTTCATCACCTTGTTTTCATTCCTAGATCTCAGTGCGTTTAGGCACCATTATCGAGAGTCAGGATGATGTGATGCCATGCTAGTTATGATTCTGTTGAAATCTTGAGCAATTATGTTGGCTGTGTGTTCCTTGCACTGGTAGGGTCAAGAATCTTTCCTCCATGGGCTCCAGGTAGATGTGGTTTCACAGGTTTTGTTAGTGCCAGCTTGGAAATGACTGGTCGAGCATAGGACTTCACACCTACTGGAAAAGCTCCTGGATTCATCTTATTAAATAACTGTAGAATTTTGAAGTGGAAACAAGCCAAGAGAGAGGCTCTAATTGAAGGCCTTGCAAACAGTAAGGGGTGCAAATGACAGGGCTTGTGCTGATTGTGTACTTTAGAATCCAGGTCCTGTGACAAAACTGTAGCACCTATTCATGTAACTTCCGAAGCAAAAGTCAGTCAAAAAATTAATGTTGGACTAGGTGTATCTTGTCATTGTGTATGAATGTTTATTTAGCCTTGAAGATGAAGTTGGGATGTAAGGCCTTGTGTTGTAGTGGACACATCTATGATCATGACCCAAGTTTTTGTTTCTGGATGTGCTGTACAACCTCAGGCAGGTCAATTTACTACTTTTTATCTCTCTTTCCCATTCTGAAAAGATATTACAGAACTTATCTACCTCATAGGATGTTGTGAAGAAATAAGGGTCAACTTATTCCTACTTTTCCACCTTGAGGGGGGGGGAAAAAAGCTACATCTGGCCTCTGGCACTATAACGTGTGTAGAATATTTAACAGGTTTGTAGTTAACATGAATGTTCCTTCCATAACTGTAAAAAATATTCATGTTTTAACTTTAAAAGCGAGTCAAGTGCATATATCCACAAGATCACTAGTTGCTTTTATGAGCAGAAAATTTCTTCAGTATTGATTTGAGTTTCATGCTTTTATCTTCTATGGTCTTTCAAGGTGCTGCGCACCATAAACTCTCCACTGACTGTTGTTCCTAGTATCTCCAATAGCATTCTGTCTACCTAGCTGGCTGTGTATGATGCAGCCTCATACCTCTTCCATGGGATGATGGGATGTGTGGAAAAACACTTGCAAAGTTTCTCTAAGGAAAAGATCAGTTCTATTGCCAAGAAATAGCTTTGTCACAGGTATTAGTCACCACCTGAAGGTTATCACAGTATTCATTTAAGGATGTAAAGCCAGAACCAACTAAGCACCTCCTATGCTTTGGAAATCATCACTTAATGCTGACTTGCATCTGTAGATATCTAATTGCATTTGAGAAAGTGACTTTTGTTTTGACAGTCCTTGTAATATGAGGACACTTCAACTGCAAGATTCTTCATAGCGTTTGATCTTCACTGTTGCAGGTGAGGTACAGTGGTCTTTGTGTGGCTGGGTAACACTGAGCTTGCCTCTCTCAATTTATACAGATCCAAATTCCTCAAAAAATGGTTTCAGCTTGAGGGTATAGGACAGGTACTTCCCTGTCCTGTTTGCAGAAAGGAACGTTCTGAAAGTATCTTGATGGGAAGAGAGTGCCCTTCTCTCAGCTAGGAAAGTGCTTTCTTCTGTTATGAAAGTAGAAAACAGATGTCATTTTCTGGAATGATTACACTGGGTGAGTTACAGACGTGCCAGATTGGGGAGGAAAATACTCATGGTGGTGTAAAGAAAGGACTCTGACTCTTTAATAAACGCGGTGCGCTTGATGTGTCACCTTGTTGCCTTGTTGATCTTGAGTACATCCCTCTGAGACATCCTTATTTATGACATCTTTATAAATGAATACTTGATTTAAATGGCAAATTGCAGAATTAGAGTCAGACAAATAAAATATTAAGACTATCTTCTGTCTGGCACAGATTTTCTCCTGTGTGACACAGCAGATCACCTGTTTCTGCATTACCTTCCACTGTAGCATAATATTGCTCCAGTAAGATCCACAGTAGTACACACCATAGAAAATCAGTGCACAGCAGATTTCAGCACTGCTTCAACTATCTTCAGGCCTGTGTATCAATGCTTCCTTTCATCATCTAATTGGTAACTTGAGTTTCTGCCTTTAAAAATGCTCAGGCAGAACCAAAGCTGGTGGCATATGCTACAAGCTGCCCTGTTCATTCCAGAATAAAAGATAAGAATCTAAGAAACACAGCAGTTTTTTAAGAAATATACTTGCACAGTCTCCAGAATAATGAGCGCGAACACATTTTTCTTCACTGTCAAGCATATGTGTCGTCCTGCTCCTGTGCCCTGAGTAAGCAAATGTGTTATTTACAATAGGTAATGGAAAGACAATGCTTTGTTACTGGAACTAGTTATGTTTATCTTCCAGCACTACAGAATAAGAATCATGAGACATGGCATTTGTTTTTCTTCAAATCACAATGTTTTAGCTTTATGTACAAGTTGTCTTTAGATAGTGGCATAAAAGAATCCCTTTTCCTCCCACTTCAAAACATTGACCACCAAAGCCAAAAGAAAGCATGGCAGGATTTTAGTGTGGACTTTGTTAGTACAGGTTAGTCAGCCATACTGAACCAGCAAATAATTGTTTTCACATGTGTGATGTGATAAAACTACAGCCCTGGACACTGGGAAGTCATTTGGAAAGTAAAAGGTTTGCAAAGCACATTGCTCTAAGATGATTAGGAATTGTTAAACAATGTATTTGGTAGCTTTTTAAAAACAGGTCTGACTATAGGAAAAAGATTTGGTTGCCCATCCAGTTTTTTTGTCTTTTTTCTGTGGCACTGTGTCAACAGTTGCTCATTAGTTACAGTGTAAATGTAGATGGTCTATTCTGGTCATGAGGAAGAGGTTGTTCTTCCTGTCAAGGGAAAAAAAAAAAGTTATCCTTTCTGTGTTTACTTTATTTACCCACATCTAATTACTCAGTGGTCTTTTTCAGCATGCAGCTTTTCAAGTTTTCATAAACTCATGCAGGTCAGAATGTGGGTCTCATAAAACATAATTAGACCATACTGTTGACAGAACTGGGTGTACCAGATACTATCACAGCCAACATGTGTGAATTATTCTTCGTGAACAATAATGTGGGTTGGGTCTTCACAAATATTTTGGCAAGCAAGTTGAATATCAAATTTTCCATTAGAAATAAAACTACTACCATTTTTTGATTAAGCAGTGATTTTTTTTTTTCAATTAAGCAGTGATTATTTCTGGAGCAAGTGTGTATTTTTCTTCAACAGCTTGTCTTGACCATATGGTTAAAAATAAGATTTTCTCTGAAGGTGGCAGAGGTTTTAGCTCCTCTTTTAACAAAGGCTGGGGGAAAAATACAACAGCTGAAACTTCCCTGAGAGTAGCCCCTTAACCTCAGCTGCCTTCCACTGTCTCGTTTCAGAGCTTACCCTTGACTCTTTTTGTCATAACTGTCTATATATGTGAACTAGATCAATAAGAGCAAATCATAATATATCACCCTAATATACTGGAAATGTCCCAGTTAAAAACAATCCTTTGAGAATTCGTACTGGGAGATTTACCCTTGTCTAATAGGTATTCAGATATATAAATATTGACTTTTTTCCCTGCAGGTGATTAGGGCCTAACTATTAGAGTTATTTTCTTCTTCATTTTGGACTGATAGGAGCTGATGATGGTCAGCATTCTAGGAGTTAATGTGACGCACGTGTCCTTCATGAAACACCTCTCCAGTCTTTGCTAATTTATGTATATCACTGCAGCTGTTATCTCAATTGTGGAGTTCTTCCATTGCACTGCATTTTAACTGATCTACCTGCAGACTGGTACCTGCACAGTATCATACAGTTAGGGAGAAGGTCAGGATTCTCTGCCTCCTGAGAAGCTTTAAGGAATTAAAATTACAAGGGTGGTTTTTTCTGCCTCTAGCTTTATCACCTCTAAGAGTGGGAATCAGAGGATCAGAAAAAAGGCCCTAAATGTTTTGGGAGGCATAAATCCTAGGAGGCAAAAGTCCTAGGATGGTTTTGGTTAGAAGCGGCCTTTAAGATCATCTAGCATGTTAACTGAACCACTGAGCTTGGTGTCAGCTGCAGACTGGCTGAGGCTGCACTCAATCCCCGTGTCTCCCAAAAGATGTTAGCACTGGTCCCTGAGGAACACCGCTTGCCACCAGTCTCCACATGGACATTGAGCCACTTACCGCAATTCTCTGAGTGCAACCATCCAGCCAATTCCTTCTCAAGCAAGTGATCTGTCCACCAAATCCAAAAGATAAATAAAAGTACATGAATTGACAGTGGTGACTCTAATCCCAGGTGAACAGATATTCATTGCGTACTCTTTCCCTTTAGTTTTTATAATTACTTTTCTGATTCAAGAGAAAGGTCATCCCTGGATGCTAATCTTGCACTAGATTTTTATCTTTTCTCTTGAATTTCCAAAGCAAATTGTAGAGTTAAGGTGGTGAGAGACCCAAAGTCAGTTAAGGAAACGTGAAGTATTCTATTGATCTCAATGTGCTCAAGAGAAAGAAAAATAATCAAGGAACAAATCCTGGCACATCTGCTCCTTTTGTTCTTCCAGTGGTAGAACAGGAGGTCTGCAAGATCAAACAGTTCTGAAATTATTATTATAGGAAGAGATACAAACGTTCCTTAGTGTTCTCTACAAACATGTACATTAATTTTTTATCACTATTATTTTTTTTAATGTAGAAAGTAGCCTAGGAAAGAACAGATTCAAAATACAATAGGCTGCTTTCATTAGGCTTAAAAAAAAACCTCAAACAGCTGGCAAACAGGTTATTAATTGTAACATAGGAGCAGGGGGCCAAGAGAGACTGATGAACTTATCCCAGAGAAAATGGGATTCTATAGCGATTATTAAAAATATTTTAATTAAGATTTTAACTCTGCAATATGGCAAGAAATAAAATTGAACCAACACAAGTAACACATCAAGGTGTGTTTTACACTGCTGTGTAATTATTCATAAGCTCCAGGTTACTTCACATTATTTAAGTATACATGGACATAGTCCATTCTAGTGTAGGCCTGATGTTCAGAGATTATAGGACTTGTCTACATGAGTTATATTTAGATTTGCTCCCTAAGGAGTTCAGCATTTTTGTTTGAATAAGTGCTGTACAATCTTAACTGTAAGTATTGACAGGCTGGCTAGCAAGCAACTAAAGAAGGGTCTTATGTTGTTGCCAAATATTTAGGCATCCATGAAATTGTAACTATTTGTATACCACCTTTGCAATGACCAAGAATTAAAGTTATTTTCATCATGGGTGGATGAGCTTGTGGGTGAATTTGTATGGGATATTTCAAGTTTTACTTGCCAGCAGGAAAGAATCCCACGAATCATAACATTTTCATTACCAGAGACCTTGTGTTTCTAGCACTCTTTTCTTCAGCTATAAAAGTGCAATACTATTTCAAGTGCAGCTGTATATTCCTGTACAAGATCAGAAGAATCCAGTTCTCTTGATTCTCTCAAATCAGGCAGGTGAGATGATAATAGAAAAAAAAAGAAAATCCAAACAATTGATTTCTTGTTTTTTTCTATTTAGCCACAACAATTTCACTAGCATGACTCATTTTTATCTAAATATTAATACTTATGTCTATCAGCATTATAGACCTGATGGCAGAAATAAACAATAATAAATTAGTGGAATTAAAGACCCTGTTCTCTTGAATAAGAGGACTGATGGGCTAGCAGTACTGCACACTGGAAATGCTTCTGCTAATAACAATTATCTGAATAGTGCATGTGGTTTAGCACTTGTCCTAAGCATCCTTAAGTCTAAAGCTCTCTGGGATCTGGATTTCCAGCAGAGGTTACAGCAGTTTGGCCCATTCAGCATTTCTGGGATGAACAAGTTGAATGTGCATGATCTACCAACTTTATTTTTCTAGACAATTATGCTAGTGCTCTTCCATTCCCCTCAAAATTTCAGGAAAGCTTTGAGGTTTTGACCCCCTTCACTAGGCAAGAATTCAGTCTATGAGCTGTCAGAGAAGCTCTGTGCAATAGTCTGCTACTTGTTTCTGTTGTTCATGTCTGGAAATTGGGAGGAGGGGGATTAAAATGTATTTATCAGTTACAAAACCTACAAAAGCAATTTATCTGCTGTTTTGGTATAGCCAAATCCGAACAACCTAAACTAGACATCCAAATTTCAGTTAGACATCCAAAATTTGGTTAGTCAGTACTTGTGCATGTGGGGTGATGGTGTGCTCATCTAGCTCTTGAATTTTAGGCTGTTATGGAGGAGAAGGTCACATTTTCAAACTTTGTCGTCAGTTGTGGAGCCAGGATGCTTCTCTATTTTTTTTTAAATAAGGTCCCATATTTCTTGGCTCACTACAGAATTATTTCCTTAAAGCACCTTAAAATTTTCTTCAAAATGACAAGCAATACCTTGTGAAGATGTTGATTGCAGTGTTGTTCTAAAGTTCAAATCATATTGCTCCTTACAAAAGGCTGACCTCAAAGTTATCCGTATTGTGCATGTCCTAAGAAGACTGACATTTCTAACCAGTTTATTAAAGAAAAACAAAATGCTTTCTGAACATTTGCCTTTTAGTTTGGAATTCTTGGCTTCATATTGGCCTTCTGTATATGGAGGAGTACCATAGTTATATGAGTACACATTGCCAGGTCTGTAAACCACAGACATCCAAGTCTTTTTACACCTTTTTGCCAAACTTACTTCTTCGCTCAATGGAGTTTAATAGTCTTCAAATGAAGACTGTTCTATGGTGACTGTGATAGGTTCACTTCTGAAAGGTGTTACCTGCCTATTACTTGACCTAAAAAAACAAACAAACAAAACCCTGGTGAATAGTTAAGCCTTTAACTAAATATGCTCTAACAATTGTTTCAGTGATAACTATGATCTTGCTTCTATTCAATTGTAATTATAACACTGGAGTAAAAAAATTGCAGAGTTTGTACTGGCTGGGTATATTTATAACATAATGCTAACATAATGCATGCTCTGTTCTCTGTTATTTAACTCTATTTGAAGCAGACTACTCTCCAGTCTGCAAAATTCTGTATTACATTCTACGAGTAAGATCTTTTAAGATGTCATTATCCATGTCAATATAATTTTGCATTCTACAAAAAAAGCAGATGTCTGAGGGTCTAAGCATCGGGCATGAAGTACTTACTGTTCAATGAGATCGTTGTTTTCAGTTGTAAAGCTTTCCTGAACATTTTCTTTTTGATGCAAATGCACTGTACTGTGATATCATAAACTCTTAGCAGTGTCTCACTTCCCAGTTTTCATCTTCAGGAGCTCATAGCACATCATACGAGACTCTACTTTCTCCTGTGTATAAATATATAATTCCTAAATATATAATTCATAAGGACATATCACAAACTTGATTTTATTGTCACCTACCTGATGCTGTCTATAATTACTACTGCAGCAAAGTGTCCTTTTTTTGAGTGTAATTTTTAACTTTGAATAGCTTTATTTGCTTCGGGTACAAAACATTATCTAGTCTGTTTGTTAGCCAGTGTCTGTTTTATACCTAGATCTACTATTAGCATACTCTCAAAATGCTTTAGGAAAACAAGGGTTCAGTGCCAGTGCTCAAACACAGAACAATAGGGATAGCAGTTTAACTCCTAGAAAAGGAGAAACCGAGACTGTGATGTTTTGATTTCATGATGATAAAAAAGACAACTCTTGGCTAAGATATGAATTTTAATCTCTTCCCTGAAAGTCTGACTAAGCTAATATTTAAAAGCATAAGTCAGCTTTTCCTAGAGAACATTCTTAGTTTTTGTAGTATAACTCTAACTTTCAATTTTGTTCCTAGTTTTGATGGCCAAGAATTGAGTTCTGTCACTTTACTCTGGCAAACCTACATAGTAATTTAATTCATGTGACCAAGCCTTTCTTAGGATTCTCTCCTCTGAAGTCAGTCTTGGGAGATAAATCACATTCCAGAATAGCACTGCAGATGCATGGGATCTGTTTGATCTCTGCTTTTAGACGAAAGTCTATGTTTACTGGGGAGTGACTGGCTAATTTTGCTATAGTAATGTTAGTATTCACAACCACTAAAACCTTGTTAAAAAAAAAAGAAAAGTCCTATTTTATTAAGGAAAGTAATGCAGAAGTCTTTTTTAGGCAGCCTTATAACCTAATTTCTAGTGGGGCTAAGGGGGAATAATTACACTACACAGAAAGAGATAGCATTACAGAAAAATGCTAAGACACTGAAAATAGTTTAACAACTGAAAAGCGCAAATCACAAAAAAAAAAAAAAAGAATTAGTCAGGATTCATGTTGAGTCTGTGTAGTGCATACTGGTACACAAGTGTCTAATAATGCAATGCAAACCCTACCAGTTTTCTTTTTAACCAAGATAGGAAAATTGAGTGTGGGACCCCAACCATAAAGGCAGCATTAGGAATAAACTTGCAATCCGAGTGCTGGACTCTTTTCTAGATGCAACAGTGCAGTCCTGTTCCACGTTCCGGTAGTGTTTGTTTAATTGGTTTCACTATGATACAACTTTTTAATGAATAAACTGTAGAGGTTGACTGAAATCAGCTTACCATAGGTTGCTATGGGAAAAAAAAAAAAAAAAAAGTCTAACATGCAGAAAGAGTAAGAAAAGCAAAGAAACAGCAAACCAACCAACAACTGAAAAACAGCAAAACAGGTCTGTCTGTCAGGAGCGATTCCTTCTATTTCCTTCTGATTTGGAAATGTTCAACAATGGCTCATCCAGCGCAAGGCTAAAATGAATGTTCCGGGCATACAGTCCTCTTTTACCTTTCACTGCTCAAGCACACACATGCCTAGAAAAAAAACTGAATGCTGATCCCAAAGGTACCTTCTAATGGATTTGGAACTGTATTGCCTGTCTGGTAACAGCTTCCTTTCAAAATAAAGGGGAAAAAAAAAAAGTTACTCCAAGTTTTGTTTTTTTTTTCTAAAGGTAGTTTTCTACACAATGCACGTCATTAAATCAGTGATGTTAGAGCATGAATAGCTCAGATTGGAATATGAGGCCCTCCTGGGAGATCTTCAGCACTGGTTTGCTCATGGCACAATCATGAAAACATATGTCCAAAAATCGACGGGAAAAAAAAAGAGGTCTTGACGCCACGTCTCTGCCTCCCAGAAGAGCTACAGCAGTGCCAGCAAGTTCCAGGCCCGTGTCCCGCAGCCGACGTGGCTGCTGCCGCGAGCCGCCGCCTCCATCGGCGACATCCGCTTCCGCAGGCCCGGCCGCGCGGCGCAGCTCGTTGCCAGGAGACGCCGCCGCCTTCCCAGCTCGCCCCGCTGCACCGCCCGCCGGGCTTCCGTCTGCCGACAGCGGGCGTTCCCGCCGCCATTTTGAGCCCGGGTGGGGGGCGCAGCCCGGCTGGCCGCCATGGACACAGGTGAGCGGCGCGTTGCGGCGCGGCGGGCGTTGGGCAGGGCGAGCGATGCTGACCAGGGAGAGAGCGCCGGTTTGCCCCGTTGGAGTGCTTCGCGTCGTTCGCGGAGACGCCGCGGCTCTTCCCGGACGCCGTGGCAGCGGAGGCACCCCACGTTGCGTCTGTGGTCGGGGAGCTAAATCTTTCATAGAGACCCGAACGGTGGGACGGAAGGGACCTTGCAGGCCGGCTTGTTCCAACTCTGCCGCGCTGGGGACCTCCCGCCAGAGCGCCTCCGCGGGGCCCCTTCCAGCCCGCCCTGATGCACCTCCGGGCGCGGGGCACCACGGTTCTGGGCCGCCAGGGCCTCGCCTCCCTGCCAGAAAAGAATTTCTGCCTGACATCTAACCTGCTTTTTTTTGTTTGTTTGTTTTTCGTTCCCCTTGTTGTTTTTAGTCAGGGTGAAAAGTTAAGCCTCCATCTTCTTTTATAAGCTCCCTTTCCATATGGAAAAGACCACACTAAGGTCTCCCTAAGCCTTCTCTTCTCCAGGCTGAGCAAGCCCAGCTCCCTCAGCCTTTCTTCATAGGACGGTAGAATCGTGCTGACCCCTGGATATGTCACCCGTGTCCACTGTGCGCCATTAGTGTGAGAACACTGCAGGATTCTCACTGAAGTGTGACATCTTTGTACAAAACAAACAAAAAAGGCAGCCTCACAGTAAGCATTTCTTAAATTATGTGCAAGGAAGCTTTCAGTGAGCTGTTTGCAGTACTCTTTACTTACCTTCTCAAATTTTCCTTCTACCAATACCTGGTCCCTTTCTCTTCCCTTTATTCTACATGAAGTTAGAGGGTATTTCTGTTATTTGCATCGTGTTTAGTTGTTTAAAGCACCAACAGCACACATATTAACATGGGCCCAACACAGATTCATGTAATAGAAAAGACTGTGCTAAGAGAACCCATATTACTGCTTTATCTCCTCTCTAAATGTTTCTATTTGTATGGTGCAAATTGAGAAACTCACTTCCAAATCTATCACGTGGGTCCAGTTTTTACTTTTTTTTTCTCACCTAATCAGATGATACAGGAAATCGACTTCGGTTCCAGCTGGAGTTGGAGTTTGTTCAGTGCCTAGCAAATCCCAATTATCTCAACTGTGAGTACTTAATGTCAGAGTCCTGAGAAGTTAATATTATTTAACAGCTTAATGATTACAGAATGATTACAAATAAACAGGGGGGGGAGGAGGAGAAAGGCTAAACAAAGAAAAGGGAAGAGTCTTTAACAGGATAAAAGCAGTCCAAGAATGCTTTAATTTGTCCAAATTTCAAAGGTGAGGTGGAAGAGGGAGGAAACAATACCTTTAAAATGTGAAATAAATATTTATTGAAATAAAATGCATCTGTCTAGTGGAGAACAAGTTCACATCTGTAGTAAAAAATAAATAATATTAATTTCAATCTAAGAAGTACTCTTTTAGCTGAAACCAGAATTTAACTAATAGTAATAATAGTTTCAGGTAGAGTACTTAATTTCTTTGGTTTTCTCTGACAGTTTTGATGTGTCAGAAGTTCCTGTTTTTGAAAACTTTTCACATCCTTGTAAGAGTTATATGCCAGAGGAGATGAGACCAACTCACCATACTTAGAATGTTGAGATACGTTTTTTACTGAGTTGTAAAAACTTGCAGTGATAAAACTATGACTCGCGTGCCTCTTTTGTACAGTTTTGTGAGTACATATTCATGAACTTTGGCAAATTTTTCATATTTCTATAGCTGACAATTCCTTGTCTGTTATTTCAGTTCTTGCACAAAGAGGATACTTCAAAGACAAAGCTTTTGTAAACTATCTTAAATATTTACTGTATTGGAAAGAACCTGAATATGCAAAATACTTGAAGTAAGTATTAAACTCCCTTAGGTTTCTGCATTTTAATGATTTTTACCTTCTGTTATGCACTGTAAAGTACCATGTCCATATTTGATTTCTCCCTGCAACCAAAACCTGCACTGTGTTTATATGCAGTATAAATTTTCCTGTTTCCTGTAGTCTGGAATAGACAGAATTAGAGAACGTTTCACTCTTGACTTCTGCGTGTAATTTGCCTTTTGCAACCTTTATCTGCACTTTGTATCTGCTTAAAACAAGATTACTGAACATCATGGGACAAAACTACTTCAGCCCACTAAATGCATTCTGAGAGTGACTTTTGCACTGTTAGTACCTACACAAAGAATCATTTTTCTGTTAATGTTAACACTCTTTCAGAGTTTTTGAACAGTTTTTGTTTACTTCAAATGAGCTCTGGAAACAGCTATTCTAGTTAATTTGTATTTGTTTTAACGAAATCTAATCTTTGGAAAAGTTATTCTAATCAGGTATGTTATGCACTTTTGTTATTAGATTCCATGTTTTCTGGCTTTGTAGTTACTGAAGATATTAAGTTACACTGCATATGTACAGCCCTGTGTTTCAGGTACTTGCATAAATGACTAAAATAACGAACTGGAGAGATACTGGAGACTCCAGCTTTAGTGTACCTTGTAAAACTCATTTTTTTAAATCCAGGTATCCTCAGTGTTTGCATATGTTAGAGCTGCTCCAGTATGAACACTTTCGCAAAGAACTGGTAAATGCTCAGTGCGCTAAGTTCATTGATGAGCAGCAGATTCTTCACTGGCAGCACTACTCACGGAAGAGAATGCGCCTGCAGCAAGCACTAGCAGAGCAGCAGCAACAAAACAACACCTCTGTAAAATGAAAAGCACTTGGAAGAGCGATGATAGTGTATACTTCGCATTAATCCAAGCATTTACAAGAAAGGAATGAAGTCTTTTGTAGGTTGTGCTGTGTGTATACACTTACTGTGTGATGTCAAGTGACTTTGTCTTTCACCAGCTTGTAACATGTTTCAGTCTCCTGTTGTAAAAATCTACTGCCATTTCTTTTGTAGCATGGGCAATCTTGTTAAGAGTATTACGGTATTTGTTCCTTTTGAAAACCAAGCCTAATTTTTGAGGGCACTGACATTGTTGTATCAACAAAAAACGTAGTTCAGAAGTTTCTACAGTGCAGGCATGTTTTGTGGAGAACAATGATATGTCTCCGAGCGTCATGACTAAGATGTACTGCTCTTTATGAGCAAAGCTGAAGTGATTATGGTTGTTGCACAAATTTGAATTTGTAATTTTCTGCCTGGAAACGAAGCTGAGCTATTACTTGTCCATTCTGTTTACTTGCTTTTTTTGAGGGTGTGGGCAGGGGTGTCTTAAGAATTCTCTTCACAATGTATTTTAGAGACAAAAAAATGAAGTGTGAAGAGATAAGGACTACCAGAGTGGAGCAAAGACGGGTAATGAGAAACTTTAGTGGAACAGAGCTATGGCCTGTTTTCTTAGGTTCTGTTACAAAGAAGTTGTAAACACTTGCAAAATTGAAGAAACGTTTATCATGCCTTCTTGTATAGCTGTTAGGTTGTTGTTTTTTTCTGTAAGAATGTAGATCACGGTAGCTGTGAAGGATTTCATTTTCATATTTCAGATTGTGTTCATGCTGTATTCACATTGTATTTCATATTCTTGTAGGAGTAGGTGCGGCAGCACCGTGACAGGGAGACTGCTAGCCCTCACCTCCTCATACTTGGTGCTGAACAGATCAGCCGTTAAACATTATATTAAAAACTTATCTTGACAGCTTCAGCAGCTGCACAAAATTAGCTTCAGGAAGAAAAAGTATTTTCTTCTACCGCTCTTCTCCACCTCCCCCTCATCCACTATTAAAAGGTCTAACTTAGTCATTAAGTATTACTGTTAAGTAAAAGTAGGCTACCACCTTGGTTTGCATTTTGAGCTTGGCTTCTTTGTAAAGAGACTTGGCAGACTAAAATTTATTTCAACGAAGAAAAGAAAACTTTTTTGTTGCAAGACTTTAGTGAAAAGGTTTGAACCTAGAATTTAATGACATTCATCTTGATTAGACAAAAGTAATTTACCATGACAGTTTGGGGGGGAAAAAAAAAAGTGAGGATTCCAGGAAAGAGCAATGCAATTAACAAGACAAACATCTTCATAAATGGTTGACTACTGGAGGATTTAATCTTCAGTAAACAACATACGCACAAGATCTGCTTTAAAACATTCTTCTTCAACCAACTTCTGCGGCTGAAAGAAAAGATGTTTTTAGGAGTAATTAAAAAATCTGTTCTAGACTAGAGCTATTTGCCCCTAATAGTATTAGCCATACCACAGCAACCGTTATTGCTAGATGGCAAGTGGGAGTTGGTGTGTGGAGCAGAAAAAGCAGTGTAAGGATAGATGAAAAATGCCTGTGTGTTTTCTGTTCTTTGAAGCATTCCTACAAAAGTAACTTGATTTAAATAGTGGGTCCCAGTTAAAACTTGGTGTGGTATGTAAATGTTTTCGTTACATAGGAGAGTACACAAGAGTGAGAGCTGTAGTCTGTCTGAATTAGGAGTATGCTACACACAATCCTACTATAGTCCTATAATCCAGCATTTGGAGTTCTTAATACTTGAGAAGCTGTAAGTCAGAAAACTGACAACATGTTGCTAAGTACTTAGCCTACCCCTCAAACAAGATGTGTTAAGTGTATGTATTTTATTTGATAAGTTCATTACAGAGAATGTTCGACAGGAGGGAGGTAGTTCCCTGAGAGAAAACTAATCTGAACTAGAAAGAGTGCATGGATAAGAGTGGAAAGGTGTCCCACACTGTCCATTCTCCTGAAACAAGAGAAGGTATCAGAAAACATGTAGACCCACAGCATACAATAAATGACTTACTGTTCCGTATTTAAGTAGTGTAGGCACTCCTGTTAGTTTCAGATTCTTCCTGAATTCATTGTTAGGATCTTTCCAGCTGTTAGCAAAGAGTGTAGTTACACAGAACTTGTAAAAATACAGTTTGAAATTCGACTGTTAAAATTCTTTCAAAGGGATGATTCTGCCTCCCACCTCCCCATCTCCTTGTTAGAATAAGCATGCAAGTAGTCCACTTAAGGGAACTGTAGACCTCTACAGTCACAGAACTAATTCAGTTGTTAGTACCAGCAGGTTAGTTAACTTCCAGGCCAGGAAGAGCTAAGAAATGTTTGTTTGCATTAAAACAGTTACTTACTAGGCTCTGTCTCCAACAAGACAGTAGATGAACACTGATTCATCAGGCATGTTATGAAGTTCGTTCCTCACAACTGGTTCAGCTAGAGAGTAATTTCTCAGTGTTAATACACCATGCTACAGAATCACGAGCATTTAGTCTGACCTGCAGTGCTGCTATCTAACACTGTCTGCTTCGGGCAGAGATCTATGCTGTTTCACGTGGTCATCCATAAGCACTGCAGAATGCATACTGTCAATGTGAAAGGGACTGGCCTTCGCACGAAGCCCAACTGCTGCTCTAACAAGTCAGAACATGCGGTCTGCTGACTGGAGGAGACCGAGCAGAACAGCGGCAAGCTGCTGCCCTGCGTAATCCGGCAGATACGATCCTGAAAGTTCAGTGTGACGCGTTCTGAGGACCTGCCTTTGTATTCCATTCCCGAACACGGGTAAGTTATTTCTGCCTTTTGTTAGGCAAAGCAGAAGTAGATTCATGCAAGATTTACATCGAATTCTTTGCTGAGACAGAAAAACCATCCTCTGTGCCAGCCTCTGCTGACCGGCGTTACGTCCCACGCGCGGGCGGCTCGGCACTGCAGCAGCTGCGGCAGCTCCCGGCCACAGCGGCCTGCAGCGACGGCCGGATTAAGGACAAGGGTAACCGCAGCGGGAGACGGCAGTCCGCGCCCGTCCGCGCGCTAAGAGGTTCGGCCTCCGCGCCGCGACCGCCCGGAGTGCCCGCCGCGTCCCCCACGAGGCCGCCCAGCGCCGCTCCGCCCGCCTCAGACCAACGAGAGCGCCTCGCGCCGGCGCCACGCGGGCCGAGAGGAGGCGGCCGGAGTTCCTGGCGGAGCCTCCGCACCTCCCCGGGCCTCACCAGTCACGCAGTCCGGGCACCAGCTCCGGCCCTCAGCATCCTTGTCGCCGCAGAAGAGCGCGAAGATCGGCCGACCGTGGTAGCGCTGCGCCGTCTGCACGAATTCGCCGTACCCGCGGACCTGCTTCTCCTCCCAACCCATGGCGCCTGCGGGAAGCGGCAACCGAGGGCGGGAAGGCGCGGCCCCGTCCCGTATGCCGTACTGCGGCGCCGCGCTCCTTCCCGACAGCCTCGGCGGCGGCGGTCGCCCGCAGCGAGTTCGAACCGCTCCGCCCAGCGGGCCGGGCCGGGCTCCCGCAGGGCGCGCGGGCGGTTGTGGCTTCCTGCCGGTGCCTGAGTTGCGGCCTGCTGCGGGTCGCCCCGGCGGGGTTCGGGTCGCCGGGCGCAACTCGCGGCTTTCCGCTGCCCTTCTGGCCTCGGGCGGGCGCGGGTCGGTGAGCTCGGCGGCGGCGGCGGCGGCGGGCGGGGCGGGGCGGGGCGGGCCGAGCTGAGGAGCGGCGGCAAAGTCCCGGTTCGGCTGCTAAAGAAGCAGTAGCTTCGGTTTTTAATTCCCAAGATCAAATCCGAGAGAGATAATTTTCTGACTATCTCGACAAGTAGCTTATATTTCAAACTCTTCTATTTGAAGAACGCCCGGTGATCGACGTTCCTTTGGCGATAAGGCACGAGCTTGCTTCCCTGAGCGCTGCCCTACTCTGTTCTCACACTTCTGCAGTACGCCGTTCCCCTGTAGGTAGGTGACGGCTATGGAAGTCCTGTAGTGTTCCGAGGGGCCGTAACGTGAGCCTCACGGCCTGTGGCGGCGCTCCTCGGTGTTTCTGGGAGTGTGTAAAAGAAGGATGTAAACAGTAAATGTTGCATTAAGTAGCAGGAACGTACTTCCCATTTTGCACGCTGCCTGTATAAAGACACTTGATCTGTTTCCTGTTCCTGTGTGCTTCCTCAGGTTGGTTCTCTATTTGTTATGCACTTAAGATTCCTTTTCAGAGATAGAAATAGCATGAGCATAGCAATAGTATGATTATAATAACTGTTAATAACTATAATAATGTATGTTAAAGTAACTATTTTCAGCATCAGGTCAATGTGATGGGACCAAGCAAGCCACCTTTGTCTGGGGCTCCGTTTACACCCACTACCCAGCTGTACAGGAATGAAGCAAAGTCTTTACGAGCACAGGTATTGCTTGAATATTTCAGCAGTGCTGAAGTGGTTTTCATTTGTGATCACTACAAAAAGATGAATGAGACCCATTTCCTGATGTAGGCCACTCATGAATGTGAGATCTTCATACTTGCTTTCACAACACTGTCACTCATAATCTTAACCCTTTTTGTTTTTTTTTTTCCCTGCATGGAACTGAAACTGCACCTATAAATACTGTTTGTCTGTCTTAGCCTCTTACTTTACCGCATAGTCACTGAACGTAGAAACTTCATTCTGTTACTGCATTTTAGCTTTCCATTTATCCTTCATCATGTATCTGTTACCTTTGTAACTCTGCTTCTCATATGATACAAATAATACCTTTTTATATTGTCATTACAACTTATTAATTTCATTGCTAGAATTCTTTAAAGTCTTTGCAATGGTATTGTCTGTTACATTGTCATTTTGGAGCAGATCTTTCACTGTGGGTGCCTACCCAAAGGTGTAAATATGTATGCAGTGTTATTTACAAGAATACCTACATGCGTAATTCCAGGTCATTTTGAATACTGACATTTATCTGAGTGGAGGGAATTCTTGCATGTGCTGGAGAAGTACCACAGTGACAGAATGCTGAATCACGGCCTGAACCTCTGATTGACCACCTGAGGCAAGCACTGAGTCAGCCCTGGGAGCACAGCTGAAGGCAATTCACCTGTGCTGCTGGAAGGGGTGGAGCCTGGCTGCACCTCTCCTAAACCCATTGAAGAGCTGGCTGCCGGGGGAAAGGATCTCTTGTGGAGATCCCTCCTTTGGAGTTTTGCGGTGGGTCTAGGGTGAGGGTAAGCACTCTCTCTTTTCTCTTTGGTATGATAACCTGCTTAGCCAAACTCTCTTGTGTATTTCATAATTATTACATTTGTATATTCATTGATTGTACAGTACTGTGATATGAAAGAGGTTTTGCTTTCCTTAGTGTTGTGCACTAGAGGTGCCTCATTCACGTAAATGGTTGTGTGTAACATGAATTTCTGTTTACACTTTAAAACAGCTCCAGTTTAATAGGAATGTTCCAGCAGTTCCAGAGAACTTATCTCTCAGGTTCTCTAACCCCCATCCAATTATAATAGAAAAACTGAAGTCATCTGACGATCAGAGAAATCTAGGTGGAAGTGATGACCCCAGTATAAGAAGCTCTGGCATGTTTTCAGTGATATCTGAAGAGAGACTAAAATGGGCTATTCATCTAGCTAAAAGGGACATAAAACGAAGGCATCTTGAAGAGCAAGTGGAACAACAGGTGTTTGGAGATGCTGTCAACAAATCATTGTTAGCCCAGAAGTCACAAGAGCAGATAAACAAAGCGTCTGAAAGTCTGGAAAAGAAAATTGGGCTTGAGTCTCAAAGTCAGCTGAAATATCACCAGAAACTTGTTGAGCCTTCCAAAATGAAGACTACCACCTCTGGTACAAAAGTATATCTGTACACACCAAAGGAGAGAATGCTAATACCAGCTGTTTTAGGCTCTTCGCTCACCCGTAATACAAGACCAGACCCCAAGACAACCGTTAAAATAAAGGAAAATAAAAATATTATTGAAATCCAACAGCTGCAGAAAGAACTAAGAAGTTGTGTCCAGAAAATTGAAGACCTAACTAAAAAAGGTGTAAGACTGAACAATAATTATTGTATGTAAATGCATGAGAGTTTGTTGATTTGTTCTTTGATTTGTTCTACTCGTTGTTTTTGTCTTTTGTTTTTTGTCTTGGATTAAAATCAGATTCATTCTAGATTTTTGAGAATAGGAAGAACAACTGGAATAATTAGCTAGGACAGATAATAACAGGGTTTAATATCTTTGAGTATTTGTAGTGAGTTCCAGTTCAGCTTGAAATGGCAGTAAATTAGTGGCAGTCTAATTAATAACCTAATATTGGTGTAGACGTATTAGCTCAAGCTTCTGACTGCAAAATGCAATACAGTGATTAACCACATTCTTAGCTGTGGAAAGAGTCAACTGACTTACCTAGTTTATAGGTGTGTGGTGTAATGATTAACGTCCTTTCTGACACTGTGTTGGTCTAAATATGAAAACACCACAGAGCTGCTTAAGCTTATCGTCTCCTAGCAGAACAGAGGAGAGAACAGGAAGAGCAAAAGCAAGAAAACTTACGAGTTGGGAAATAGGTAGCTTAGTAAGTGAAGGGAAAATTGAAAAACAAAGAAGATGATGCAGTGGTGATCACATGCTGTCTCTCACAAGTAGTCCAGTGCCCAGCCAGTCTCTGGGTAATGGCTATGTTTCTCCCTTCACCCAAAACTCTTATTTTTTTTTTTTATTGCTGAGCATGCTGTTATACAGCATGGGATATCCCTTTTTTTTTTTGGTTTGGTTCAGCTGTCCCATCTGTGAGCCCTCACAACTTCTTGCATGCCCCCTGCCTACTCACACGGGACATAGTTGAAACTCTGAAACTTGAAACTGTGCACCTACTCCACAGCAAAAGACAAAACGTGGATGTGTTATCAGCCATGTTTTAAGTTATAAATCCAAAACAGCTGTGTACATGTCACTGTGAAAAAAGTAAACTCATCCCAGCCAGACCCATAACATTGCATTGGTCCCTTTATTATAACTACCTGGAGGTTTAAATTTATTTCTAACTTGGGGCGTTTTACTTGCAAGTTTGTCATGAGATTAAGGAGTCATGAGTAATTTTGTGAACTGTATCTGAAAAGGTGTGTTGTGTAAAAGTATTTAGTCAAATATTAAGCAGATACATAATGTGGAGTTGAAGTAGCTAGCTTTCATTACTGCCCCAGGATGCTCTGCATAAAAGATTCTTATTGCTAAATTATATTTGTTCATTTGGCTTAAACAAGATTTTCACATGTTAAATTAAGGCATAAAACTTAATATTTCATGCTTCTCAGAGAGAGATGAAGAAAACTTAGATGCTGATGAACAGCACCAAGTTTGCACTCAAAGGCAGAAGCAAGCTGCGCGGTCGGCTCAGATGCTGTATGTACTCCAGCAACAGGTACAAGTAGCATTTCAAATTGGGATGTTTATTGTGATAAATTTGACAGAAGTGAACTGAAACAATCCAGATTAATGGAAACATGTCTGAATTTCCATTACATTCTAGTTTGGATCTGAGTGGTGTGACCGATTTCACTTAGGAGTGGTTTTAGAGATATGAGCATCACTGTTGAGGGGGGGAAAAATCTTTCACTCAGATGTTACAGTGAAAACATTGTTCATTTATAGACATGGAGCTAATTCTAACTCATTTTCCCTGCTCCCCCTCTTGATGAACAGGTGAAAAAAATTCAGGACGATTTAGAAAAACTGAGTCCTTGTAAAATCAAACATACTAAAAAGGTAAGATGGAAATTATCGCACAGAAATACATTTCATTTGGTCTCTTGCTGCCTTTGTTCCTTCCACCTTCTTCTAAGTCCTAAGATTTGCCTACAGTGCTGGTGTGGAAAAGACTTGGCCTGCTTTTAGGTGGTTTCTACTTCGTTCCACTTTTCTGAATAACGCTCTGTTCTACTCTGGTTTATTGTTTTTAATTTCCCATTCACGTCACTCAGTCGTAGCCATTCTTTCTGATTTTCACGTTAGTCCATGATCTTTCAGAAAGATAATGCTGTGATAATTGGTACTGTTTGGCCAGTATTGACTCAATATTCTCATGTGCTTTTCTATCCATCACTTGTATTTTCTTTTCAAGAAGAAAACAGATGCTGGGGGATGGAGAATGTCCTACAGTCATGCTTTTTGTACATTGGGATCAGCCCCATGACTTCATAGGTATAAAGCAGTAGAAATACCAGGAGTTACAGCACAGTTATAACACTATGCTGTTTTAGCTGAATCTAACATTGAATTTATGTGCAGTGTTGTGTAGTACCTTTAGAAGACTTCTTAAATGAATGTTTTGTTTTCCCTGAAAAGCGGCCTAATCTCCATCTGAATTATTCTAAATCTTGAGTGTTCATACATGAGATGTTGGTAACAATTCTGTGGGTAGTGTCCATACTTACAGAAACTAGAGGTACTAAAGTACATATGTTTCATTTTTCCAGTCTCGAGCAGTGTCCAAATTGGCAGCAGCGCATAGAGGAGCTATACGAGCCTTGCAGGCATTCGCCAGTCTGTTTACTGATCAAACAGGGCAATGGGTTCCAACCCACTACAAGGAGCTGGGCAGCCTCATTCGACAGCTGTCACTCTGTTCTGCCAAACTTGAACTAGATTCTTCAACTTCTGATGTTATAATAGATATTTTGATGCAAGTTGAGGTAGGAATAATTGTTTTGTTTTGCAGAATATTTAACTTTTTTTTTTTTAATTAAAAGGCCATATTTTCCAATAGATGTGCTTCTAATGTTCATAAAGAAGAGCAGTCTAAACAAGTTGCATCCTGTTCACAGGACAGACTGCTGCGGTCTGTGATGATGATGTTCTTGTCATTATTCACTATCCTGGTAGGATAAGGACTGGTAGTGATAGTGGTAACAGAAACAAGTTGTTGATTCATTTCCCATTTTCAAGGTTGAAAGAATTGCATTTGATATGTTGGTTAAGTATTAAATATTGTTCTGCTGTGCATCCTTTAGTCATCAGTACTAAGTGAGTCTTTCTGCCTCACATACAGTGGTGGGTGCAGAATTGTGTAGGTGGTAGCTACAATTTAAAGCTCTCTGCCTTTCAAATGAATTTTGTTAGTAATATCTGATGTTCTATGACATCTGTTGATACAGTACAAAAGTTCTGATTCACATTTCCTGCTGTAGTTTCTAGCTACATTATTTTTAAAGTAATAACCTACATAGCCTGAACTATTCTGCAATCAGTAGTTAATTATTTCAAATAAAAACAGCTGATCCAGTAGCTGCAAGATATTTTATTTACCTTAAAATATTATTCTAAATGTAAGAGGTGTGTTTTCATTGTTCTGAACCGTAATGCTTATGACCACTTTAACACTGGTTGCATCAGAATAGGAATGGAGGTAGAATTAACATTGTATTTCTCAATGGAAAATGTTTGTCTTATCTTAGTCATTTGTAGATTTTGTGTCAATTTATTTTTTAATGTGCTTTAAGTGGATAATTTTCTAGTCAGTTGTAAATTTAAAAACATGCAGACCTCTTCTTGTATTATTAAGTTAGTCAAACAAAGATGCTTCTGCATGAGCAAGCTGTCAGGACAAACGAAAAAACAACCAACCAACCAAAAACAAAACAAAAACAAACAAAAAAAACAAAGCCACATTAAATAGTTCCAGTTACTCAGAATATCTTGAAGTTGTTTTTCTTTATTACGTCCTGCTTACTGAGAAAGTAATTAAAATTATCAATATCTGATGCAGGATCTGATTTCATTGTTGGAAAGGAAACAAACTCCCAAAAAAGCGAAGGAATGTCTTCCAGCATCACATGGCGAATCCTCAGTGAACACTGTGACATTTCCAGCCAGAAAGCAGCTAACAACTCCAAAAGGAGAAAATAAGCCTCTCATCTTAAAAAAACAACGTAGACAAGGACCCAGAAAATCTCCAGCTGCCAGAGGTCTCTTGCTTGGTTTGTGTTTTATTACTAAATTGTTAGTTAACTTGCACTCTGCAGTTCAGTTTTTTAGTGTGTTACATACTGCTGGGCAGAATTGTGCAACAGCCCATAGCAGTCATCAGATTCATGTAGCTTTGTTATACTTTCAGTGTGTTTTTTTTTTTTTTTTCCCTAGCAGCTACTGTTAGGTGATTAACTTGCAGGTTTATATGCCTCTTTATGTTATCATCATCATCATGTTTTTATTTTTGTCTAGCTCCTTTACAGTGAGCTATGCTTGGATTGCTTTTCTACAATGTATACCTAAATGACGCTTTACAAATTAGTTTTAATGGTGCACACAGAATATATCTCATGTTTATGTTGAAAACACTATATGAACATATTCTCTTGAAATGCAGTCATTGTTTGTTAGCAAGTCTCCAGCAAAGTTGTTTTGTAGAAGAACCATTTGGAGTGAAAAGATGTACTAAAGCTTTGGCTCAGGATTGCCTTAGTTCGGGTAGTTTCTCTGCTTTTGAAAGATTGAGTGATGTGGCTTTTGTTCTTGACAATCCACTCATTTCTTCTGCACCCCAGTCACAGTCTCAGAACCTGGAGGCACATTAACTAACAGTTACACTGAAGTCTGTTTTCCACTGCCAGAGATTGAGATGCAACCTCTGGGAGTTACTTCTCTTCTTCTTCTACCTTATACATGAAAAATACTTTCTTTCCTAGTGTGTTTTGAAATAGTTGATGTCTACAATATTTTGCCACCTCATGAAATCTATTATTGCTTACTACATGACTGTGTATGTGTCAGTGTTTTTGTGTATGTATATATGTTCATATGTAAATGGAGAATGTGTTTTCTCGTATATTTATTCTTCGGTTAATCACTCTAGCAAAGACAGTTACTTTAATGCTTGTCAGGGAATATGAGGGTTGTTTTTTGATTTGTTTTTAATTTTGATATTTTTGTATTATGGTAGAGCTTTAAATGTTGTGGTTGGGTATATCTACCACAACAGGAAAGTTGGATGTAGACATTAAGATGATTCTCGTCCCTTTGAACTTACAGCTGAAGATTTCTTACTTATTTTTGATACAGATAAACATCAATACGTTGCAAAAATTTCAGCAGTTCAGAAGATGAACGATCACACTCATATGTTGCATGGTAAATTCCAGGACGCAAATGATCTTCCTGCTCCACAAAGAAATGCTGTTTCACAGGGAAGCCTAGAGGCACTAGTGAGATCTAGAGCTGTAAAAAAAGATCCTATCCTTCAAAGTGGCTCTTTAAAGAAGAAAGACACGTTATTATCTGCAGAATCGCAGGTATGCAAGTTGTAAAAGAATTCATGCTTTCTTCATCTTGTCCTCTGGGATTTGTTATTAGTGTAAGGCACTTTCAGACTTTGTACTCCCTCAAATATATTTTTTCTTCTGAGTTTAGAAGCATAGGCAAATAAGCAATGTTATTTGTCTCCATTATTTCTGATGGTTATATTTTATCAGTTGTTTTCTGAAACTTGTGTTGTTGCTTATCGGCAATCATTAATTCTGGAGTGGACCTCACAGTTTAATGGCCAAATAGAGCATTATCCTTAGAAGTGCTTGCAAAAATTGTAATAGCAAAATTTAAGCACGTTTTGTTATGGCACAGTTGTACTTGTCTTTAAACGAGTTCTAAATCCTCCACGTGTGTCAGCTGTGCGATAAAGTAAAGAGACATGACTTCCAAACAAATTCTAAAGCAGAATACAAAATACTTTAAAAATTAAGCAATGGAGATGCATGTTTTTAATGTAATTGTGTTAATTTTAAGGGCATGCCTAAATCTCTGAAACCAAGGCAGGTGCAGCCTCCAGGAAAGCATGCTCGATTTCAAGAAACAACTATAGCTTTTCAGTTAAAAGAGAACAAACGATTTGTTAAGGAGAGCAGCATACCCTGGGTGCCTTCAAACTCTGCCTTACCTCCTGCTGCACCTAAACGGTATGTTCGTAGTCTAGTGGATCCAGTGTTCGCCTAACTTTTCTGTGGAAACAGTACTGTATCTGTGCTAGTAAATAGGATGGGTTGGGCCTGCCTCTCATTACAGAGGCAAAAGTGGCATAGCACAGCTCACAAGTGGATATTTGTATTTTTTTTTTCTCACTCATAATAAAGTGGCCTCATTCACAGAGCATGGGGAAAAAAGCATTCCTCTATGATTTTCCTGGGTCATATATGAATATCATCTGGAAGTCGCAGGCCAAAACTGCAAAGCACTGACAGGCTACATAGCATGCAGAATGGACATTCACTAGCCATGCTGGTGCTCTGATTAAATTTTTAAGTTTATTTAACTAATCTGTTATTATGCTTTGTCAGTCCTGCCATAATGGTTTTTGAAACTCATCAGCTAATTTCAATTCAAATGGGCAGCGGAAAAATAACAATAGTATGTTCCTTCAAGTGTTGTGAAATTACTTATCTAAATGAAGAGTTTGTATTGGTGCCTTCTCTGGAGGAAGTAGTTCTGTCATATTAATCACGTAATCATAGATTATTCTGTGCTGAAATGCACATGCACAAGGACCATCACATCCAATGTCTGGCTCCACACAGGACCACTCAAACTCTGTCTGAGAGTGGTGTCCCAATGCTCCTTGAGCTCTGGCAACTCAAGGCTGTGCCCACTGCTGTAGGGTGCCTGTTTCATGCCCACAGAACCATTTCCTCACCCCCCCACCTGACGTTCCCACATTGCAGCTCCCTGCTGCTCTTTCAGACCCTGTCAGTGTTTCCAGAGCTCAGCACTGCCCCCCTGTTCCCTGTGAGGAGCTATAGGCCACCGTGAGGCCTCCCCTCCTCTAGGCTGAATAAACCAGAGAGGCCTCAGCCTCTCCTCACGTGCTTTGCCTATTCCATTTCATAGCCCTCCCTTGGTTACACTCTAATAGCTTTACATCTTTACATTGCGGGACTCAAAACTACACATAGTGCTCTAGGTTTTGTCTGTGGAAAGCTTGCTATGTCATAGAAGTTGTTTTGGACTATTAGAATTGCAGCAGTGAGGTAATATGTATTCCTTCCTTTTCCTAAGATTTCATTCTTTTTCATATTAACTTTGTTAATTAGTTCCTCTCCATTTCTCAAGTGCAATTTGTTGGTATGTCCCTCATTCATTTTTCCATCTAAATATTTTATGTTTTCCAAATGTAGTTAACCTATTATCTCAGCACTGCAGTGAGAATACAAATGTGATCTCTTGGTTCCAAAAGGAGAAAATATGTATTTTTTTCCTTGTCTGTAATATGGTCTAGGCTTGTTTATGAAAAGAATATATTCAGTATTCTGGAGACTCGGGTTCCCCACATTTAGTTTCCCGTGCTCTTTCTGGCAGTTGAACCAGAAGATTCAGCTGCTGGATCTGAAGTAGGCTGTGTGTTGATGAGGAGCTTGTCTATCTAGGCAGTATTTGCAGATAGCCATGAAGTTGTCTTTTCACCAGTAGTGTAGGGATGATTGAAGATCACTGGTTCTCAGATGAATTTCCTGGCTTATATGATATTGAAGCCAATATTAATTTTCTCTATAAATGTTCTCAAAATTTTCATAAACTAATATTCAGAATCCAGTTATTTTATTCTCCAGTTCTTATAATGAGCGTTGTGTAATTTTCCTTATGTAATTGTCTTGTATTTGAAGACTAGCATGGCGTGAAGCAGAAGCTTCAAGAAGAATGAAAGTTCTGACTGATCTTAACAGAAGAGAAATGAAAAAAGGACAAAAGTTAAGGTAATTACTTGCTCAGAAGAGCTAATAAGTGGTACCAGAACTTGATATAATCTTCCTGCTATCCCCACCAGCAGTATGAAAAGCTTCTCAACTTTCCACTTCCCCAAAAAGTGGATTTCTGTTTTTTTATTTTTGTTTTTTTTTTAATTACTGTTGTTATGTCAAATTTTAACAAATTGTCATTTGTTCTTATTTTGTGCGTATGTCCAGGTTGCAAGCTGCTTCTCCAACTCAGTGTGCAGACAAAGTCGACAAAGCAGTATGTGAGCACCTAGAACTTCCATTGGATAGGGCACAGGTAGTACAGTCAGGCTCAGGGCAGTATTTGAGGGGTACATTTATAAATGGTCAAGATAATGTTTGTTTTCAACGTAGCACAAGTAAGGAGTTTTTTGGAGAAACGTATCAAATGATTTATGTAGCCAGTACATTTTGGGACACTTGACAAGTGTATTTCCATTTCAGTATGTAGGCTTCAAGTTATCGTAACCAAAGCTGGCAAAGCTGCATTCTTGTTTTTTTTTTTTAACCATCTTTTCTTAGTAGTGAACAATCAGAACTGTTCTACACTAATCATAACTGGACTTGATAAGATTATTTTAATAATATAATACCACATTTAATGTCTCAGTATATTTTCTCTGCTAGTAATTATGACTAATAATACAGAAGGTTCATTATTCTAAGTGGATTTATGGTTTATTAGCAGATCAATATTTCCTTGGAATCAAACTGTCATTTGAAGGATCCTTCAATTACAAGACAGCTTTCAACTCACGCAGCTGAGAAGGTATATTCTATCTACTTGTCACAGAGAAAAGCTGAGTTTTTATCTTTGCCATGTGGCAAAATGCGTTTAGAAAAGTAGTGATGATTTTCTGAACTTAACATTTTCCAACACTGTATAGCTTATAATACCTTATAGCTCTCTACATCCTACCTGAAAGGAGGCTGTGGCGAGATGGAGGTCAGCCTCTTCTCCTGGGTAAGCACTGGGACAAGAGGGAATGACTGCACGTTGTGCCAAAGCACACGTAGAATCAGCTTAGGTTGGATATCAGGAACAACTTGTTCTCCAAAAGAGTGGTCAGGCGCTGGAACAGGCTGCCCAGGGGCTGAAGGAGTTACTGTCCCCAGATGTGTTCAAGAAATGTTTAGATGTTGTACCAAGGGATATGGTTTATTGGGGAATACTGACGGTAGGTGGATAATCAGACTGGATGATCTTGGAGGGCTTTTCCAACCTTGCTGATTCTGTGAATAGCGATATCATAGCATGGCATGGGGGGAATAGCAGGGCAGGGGAAAACAGCTTTAAACTAAAAGGGAGGAGTTTAGGTTAGATGTTAAAAAATGCTTTACTGAGAAGGCTGTGAGCCTGTCTGATAGAGAAAGGCCCAGAAAAGCTGTGGCTGCCCTAACCCTGGAGGTGTCCAAAGCCAGGCTGGAAGGGGGGCTCCACGCAGTCTGATAGGAGGGGGTGCACCTGGCAGAGTTGGAATGAGGTGATCTGTAAGGTTCCTGTCAACCTAAGCAATTCTATGATTCTAGTTGGTAAAACTGGACACAACTGAAACCTGCAGCTTTGGCCTAGGTTTACTCTGTGCTCTTCTATATTTATTCATTAATTTTGGCAGCTGCTGTGGGACTTCTCCTGTATGTTCTGTTAAATGCATGCTTTGTAATATGAGGGCCTTTGCTTCTTGCTCTTGAATCCTGTGTGATTTCTGAACCTGTGTTTAGGAACATAGAAACTGAGTTATGTAGAGAGCTTCATCCATGTTCAATGCTTTTTATTGGTAGGAATATACCAAGCTGTTTTTATTGATTTGGCTTACTAAGTGAGTGGAAGAGAAATAAAATTATTTGGGCTTTCACTGAAAAGTTGTAATGACATTTGGCTTCTTACCGGCAGGTGCTGTAAGAAATATGTGATGGATAAGCATCATTTTTTTCCCCTCAAAGTTTTTCTATTTCTTCTCTTTTTCCCTCTTTTTTTTTTTTTTTTTTTCTCCCCCCCATGGACTGTGTTTATTTTGCTTTTTTTGGCAGGTTGCAGCAAGTGCAGATATTCTGAGTGAAAAGGTACTGGATGATCTTTTGGAAGATGCTGCTCAGGAGCTCTGGAACATGGAGCAGTGTGAGAGACTTCAGGCTGAGAATCTGTTTGTGGCTGATGGTCCTAGTCTGGAAACAATGTTGCAAAGAATGGAAGAAATTGAAGTAAGTTCTTCAATTCTATCAATCTATTCAATCTATTCATTGGTCTGATAGGGCTAATTTCTGGTTTACTGACAATAATTATAATACCAGTAGGTATCTGCGTTCTTTAAAACAAGATCAGACTGGATTGTGGTATGAAATAGGAAACTCCTTCCAAGTCTCCCCTGCCAGCACAAAACTGTGTAAGAACAGAAGGATATTTGACCTCATGGTTTTATTGCTAATGTTAGGATTGGCAGACCTCAGTTTTTTTTTTTTTTTTTTTTTTTTCCCCCCATGCATTACTTTTTTAAACTTTAATAAGCTTTTCCAGAGTGTTTGTTTCTAATCTTACTACAACCTTTCTGTTCAGTTACATTTATCCTGAATTAGAACTACTGAATTTAGCACTGTTTACCTGAGATCAATTCGTAAGCTGAAAGCATGAAGCTTACAGTATGCAATATCCATTTAAGGTGCTTGGGCATATGTTTGAATTCCTTGTTGGTAAGGCAGGAAAGCCCATCAGCTGTTTTTCTAACTGCTGTTGATCTGAAATAGGAGTAGTTGCCATGGTACTGGCAACTAGTTGAATCTTCTAGTCTAGGATTTTGAAATGAGATGATTATATGTAATTTCATCTCCTTTTACTCCTTTTCAGTACTGCATTAACCCTGCAAAATAATCCTGCTTTGACAAGGAGAATCATGACCTGCTTTCTTATCAAGTGATAAGTGTTAAGCATGTGTTAATTGATTACTTTTATTTGTTTAAAAACAGAGATATCAGGAAACTGTGTGCAGGAGATTCAACCAGATTGTGTACAGTGATTCAGAATTCAGGGCCCAAGAGGATAAAATTGGTAAGTAGTTTCTTCAGTACAACTTACTTTCTTGGCGTCTCTGTCTTTTGAATTCAGAGAATTGAAATCAAAGTGATTGCATGTGATCATATATCACTGTTGTAATGAGAAAGTGTGAATGCTTCTGCATAAGGTTTACCAAAACCCAAAGAAAGTATGCAAAGGCAAGTTAACATTCACCAGTTAGTAAGAGGCACTCACGTTACCAAAGCTGCCTGGCTGGTGAGATGTCTGTGCCTGCCATAGGTGTAACAGGGAGACAATAAAGCAACGTGAATCAGTCTAGTCCAAGTTAATCACGGAAAACAAGGATACTCAGTTGTAGCTACAGAGTAACTTCTCACAAACAAATCTCTTGTAGGTGCAGAACCGAGAGGCAGTTTACTTGTGTTCCCAAGGAAATAAAAGTTGGTTTTTCTTTTTTTTTTACAGGCTAGTTGCCTGTTCAGTCCATGATTTGTGTTTTTGTCGTGCAACTATTCAGGCATTTTTGATTATAGGTGCTCCTTTGAGAGGAATGTTTCTGAAAAAACGCTTGTTTTTCTTGGAAAAGAGAAGGCTCTGGGGAGACATTGTGGCCTTCCAGAATTTGAAGAGAGTGTGTAAACAGGAGGGGCAACAGCTGTTTATGAGGGTGGGCAGTGATAGAACAAGGGGAATGGTTTTAAACTGAGGGGAGATTTAAGTTAGATATTAGGAGGAAGTTTTTCACCCAGGCTAGTGAAGCGCTGGCACAGGTTGCCCAGGGAGGCTGTGGATGCCCCATTCCTGGATGCATTCAGCGCCAGGCTGGATGTGGCTCTGGGCAGCCCGGTCTGCTGGTTGGCGACCTGCACTTCGCAGGGGGGTTGAAACTGATCATCGTGGTCCTTCTCAACCGAGGACATTCTATGATTCTATGAAATGCAGTGCTAACAGAAGGATCCATTCTGAGAACAGACCATTATTTTCAGTTTGCCTTTGTTGAGTATGCATTTGCATGCGATGCACTGCTAGAGTAACTTAGTTGAAGGATAGGAGTCTTTAATACATACCACCAGTCAATACGTGTTAAGTTTTTAATGTTGTCCTTTTAAAGGCATTTGTCATTCCTTAACTTAGATATTTTCTTATAAATAGTGGGTAGTGATTTTAGTGCAGTGAAGATTTTATACTGTAGTCTGTAATTGGAGTACATACATCTGTGAGCTGTTTGAATCTACTTCAGAAGAAAGATAGTTTATTTTCTAAGTTTGAAATCTCCTGAAGCTACTTTTTTTCTTCTTTTTTTTTCTGTTGGCTCTTTATGACTGGGAATTTAAGTCTAAATCTTGCAGTGTTTAGTGTATTCTTTCTTTATCCTTCTGTTTGATTAAATACAACAATGAAGCTACGTCAATTTACCAAGTTGAGGATCTGGTCACATACTAACTTCAATGAAAATGCGTATGAAATCTATCAATAAGATAGATAAAAACTTCCCCCAAATCTTGTTTCATTTTTTCTGTTTATTGAATTTACTGCCAAGCTCTAATATACTGCATTAACTTTTGAGTGATATTTTTTGTCTGTTCTAGAGAAGTATTCCCTGATTAAAAACAAACTGCACTTATGCTAAAGGAAGAATGTCTGAAATGCTTAGTTTCAATACACTGAGCTCCTGGATATCCTTGCTCGGATTTTCATTTTTAGGGATTTGTCAGCTTTAGTAGCTGTCCTTTTCTACCTGAAGGATATGCCTATGAAGGAAGCAAAAGTTTTTGAGGTCCTAACTGCATTAACTGTAGGCTTTTTATTTTCTTCCAAAGAAACAAATTTTAATGTTATCTTTTTTCCTTCTAGATCAACAAATGGCATTAATAACTCAACTACCTACATCTCCTCATTCAATTCAGATAACCAAATTAACTAGACAGATACAATCGGAAGCTGACATTTCATTTGAAAAAATTTTCGATGACAAGTAAGTCGAATACTTTGATTGTAGACAAAGCTGTGGTGCATTTCTGCTGTGCACGTTCGTTGCAGTGTTTGTATTAGAGGGAATTATACTTACTGTTTGAAGTCATTTTCTGATCTTTCAAAAAAAACCCAAAACTTAATAATCCTGATTTAATTTAATCTTTTGTATTTCCAGTGGCACTAACAAAAACAAAGAAGCTCAGGAGAAATTGCTGACTGGAAATAACATTCTGCAGCCCTTGACTCAGAATTCTGTGCAGAAAAAGTCCTACATTTCTTTCTCAATCTCAAAGCATATGCTCCAGAGCATCCTGGATTACAGCAGCAAATACAAGCATCACCTAAACCTTATTTTCCATGAAGCAGTAGGCAGCTTCAATCCATGGCAGATTGCTGAAAGGTATGTGAACTACCTGTGTTTTTGTAGTGAGTCTATCAGGTGTTTTTTTCTGTCCTTAATTCCTACCACAAGAGGGCATTATAAATCTTCCTATATAAAGTAAGTGTTAAAAAAAAAAATGTTTAGAAGAAACAGTCCCTTGCTATGCTGGGAAAGTCCTGGATACAGTAGCTTTATTATAATTTAGAGTACTTGCAAAATTCTGAAGATAAACTTTACAGAGGTTATTTTAACATAAAAACAATTGTTTATTAGTTTTCCTTTCTGTTATGTCCACTGTTGTCTGGAGGCCACTTATCTCATTTTTCCTTAAACCTTATTACTCTCTGTAAGGCCTTATTCAGTGGCAACTAAAATCAGTAAGATGCTTCCTATTTATTTCAGTGGCCTTAGAATGAGCACCACAGTATGTTAGTTATTACTCCTATAGCAGAATTTGTATGTAAGAGTTTGAAAAAGGAAGAAATGGTGATCAGGAAAGGGAGGAGACTGACATTGCTGAACTGGGTTCTGCTAGACAAATCAAAGAGCAAGAAAATGCACAGGCAGAGGAAACAGGGACAGGTGGTATTGTGAGAAGAGTGTAAGGAAGCTGCTAAACTGTGTAGGAATGGCATCAGGAAAGCCAAGGCCCAGCTTGAAGTAAACTCAGCAAGGATGCCAAGAAGAACAGGAAAGGTTTCTACTTCTAATTGAGATACCTAAACCAGAAAAGGAAAGTCCGGGAGGCTGTACTCCTCCTAGGGAGTGACACAGGCAAGCTGGTAACAAAGGCAAGGAGAAGGCTGAGGTACTTAACGTTTTTGCCTCTGTCTCCCCTGATGACTGCTCACCACACAGTCCTGAAATGTTTGGTTTTGTAGGAGGGGACTGGGGAAGCATGTCCTGTAAGTGTAACTGTAAGTAAAGATCAAGTTCATGACCACATGAGGAAGCTGAACATCCAGAAGTCTATGGGTCCCCATGTGTTGCATCCTAGTGTCCTAAGAGAATTAGTTTATGTAAGCCACTCAATGATATTTGAGAAGTTGTGGCAATCAGGTGAAGTCCCTGGTGACTGGGAGGAAAAAAAAAAAAAGACAACAGCACACCCATCTTTAAAAAGCGTAAGAAGGATGACCGTGGGAACTACTGACCTATTTGTCTTCTGTGCCAGGAAAGATCATGGAGCAGGTCGTCATGAGAGCTGTGTGCAGTGGAAATGTACACTTGCAGTCTGAAACAGTAACAGAGCATCTGGAGGGGCGGGGGGCGCCGGGCAAACCAGGGAAGCTTTGGTGCAAGCAGTGCACCTGAGTGGCTGGGAGCAGTGGAGCCAGGATCCACCCTTTCCCAGACCTCATTTAAGTACTGGCAGTGGGTATAAGAATATCTCTTGCTGGAGATCCCTGCTTGTTGCAGGGAAGCTGGATTAGATAACCTTTAAAGGTCCTTTCCAGCTCTAAGGATTCTGTGTTTCTAATTTGGGTTATTATACAACACTTACAAGAACGCAACTGTTCTGTGATAGTAGAATCTTTTCTTAGACTAGGCAGTAGAAAGAGAAAAAAAAGCAGCAATATTTGCCTTTTTAGATCACAGCATTGATATCACTGGTATGAATTAGTGAAGCTCAAAATCTGACCTCAGCCTTTTCCTGTTCTTTTTTTCCCCTTTCCTTGTACCTTAGTCTTGCAGAGGAACTAACAGACGAAGCCCTGTTTGATGTAGCAGCAGAGCTGCAGGATGTTTGTGAGGATTATGCTGAAGCTGTATTCACATCAGAGTTTTTGCAGCCAGCATAGTAAGTGCTTTCAAATCTGCTCCATTACTAAATGAATCAAGCTCAGTCTAATAGTTTTATCAGACAATCTAATTTTTCCTATTTTGCTTGTTTGTTCTTTTGGTCTGTGAGATTTTGTTCTCTAAAATGAGTTAAATCCAACAAGAATTCATGTCAGATTTTTATAGAACCAAGATCATAATGTTTTTCCTTTCAGGCTTCCTGGATTTATCAGGACTATCGTTGTTGTTGTTGTTGTTGTTTCATTTGTTTGACCAGCGTTTCAGTGGAATGATGTGAGCTGTTACAGGTGAATTTTGTATGTTTTGATAGGTATACACATCCATTTGTTTACTTCCAGTGACTTCATCCATTTTTGTGTGTAAGCTACTGATGAGAATAAAATACTGGGAAGGGGACACTGGTTTAAGCTATGTCATAGACTTAGCTGCACTGTGCCTCAGTTTTCTTTCAATTGGGAGAATCTCACTTAAATACCTCCCAAAGGAGTTATGGGTTTTAGTTTACTTCTGTCAAGAAAATGCACTGAATTTTTCTGATAGCTGTGTTGGAAGAGCAATTCATTATTGATACAAATCTAACACCCAGATGGAAAAGTGAAGAACAAAAACTGTTGGCTTTGCTCTCTGGAGCTTTATGTGTTGTAAAATAAAAACACTGTCTGACCACCGTAAGGAATATATGGATTAGTTCTTTTTAGGATGTGTCAATCCAAAGGAAGGATTCCCATGGCACAGTACTAAGAAGAGGTAAACTCACACGGGCTATAGACAGAGCTTGCGCTCTTAAGAGTGAAGTACCTCTCCTGTTTGTTTTCGAATGTCACTAGTACATTATGCACAGGTGAATCCTTTCGACAGAAGCATGTGATGGAAACTTCCTTTTTTTAAAATTAGCTTGAAATATTATTTAAACCTTAGCACCTTAGAGCTCAGTGATCCAGCCCTACATTCTTTAGTCTTAGCAATTCCATTAAAATCAAGAACTATGAAATAAATGAAAACTGTGATTTCTGCAATATAGTTGATAATCACTCTACTAGTTTGGGTTATGCCTGGAACGAGCAATAAGTAAGATTTATGGTACTATTCTGGGGAGCTCAGCCCTTGAGGTAACCCAAAAAACAGTATGACAGTTTGTATCCTTTAAGTTTCTTTTCTATAATTGTGTTGCTCTCATCAGGGTAAGTTTGACCTTCTAAGACTATTTTTATTCCTTCTTATTTGAACATATTTTATTAAAATAATTGTTTTTATTGAGGACTTTTACTGTTTTGTTTGTCTTGAATTTTACACCAGAAGTAACAATGTAAATATTACTGATGTATGATTTTGTGTAATTTCTTAAATTATAAACACCATCTTTTTATTTATGTAGTCGTATAATAAGTCTAATTTAAAATAAAAAATACTAAGACGTAGTGTCTGTATCTGCATGTATGCTCATGGAAGTATTGTCAAGATATTCTGTTTTTGAATAAACAGTGTGTCTTTCATAGGACTAAGCATATTTTTAGTTTATGGTAACTTCTTTCTGAAAGCATTTGGGACAATCAGCGCACAGCCTGGCAGCTTTGCAGGGCTCAGACTGCTCTATTTCTTCAGTGTAACGTGGTTTTCTGTCAAATTGTTTTCTCTGCTGTGAGCGGAATCCTTTGGCTGATAATGCCAAAGTGAATTTTTATTCTGAATGAGACTTTGTGGTGTTTGCGTGTTTTCTTTAAGAGAAAATCTGTGGAGAATGAAGACTTTAGGCAGAAACCCTGATTTCACACTCTTCAGTCCCTCCTACAGAACTGAACTGATGGACTTTGTACTGTCTATTTACAAAGGCAAACTAGACAATTCAGGATGTTTCTACACTGGAAATTTTGTAGTGGTGAAGTTTTGAGTTAAAGTGACTGTGTGTCACTGTTCTTAAGGGACAAATCAGAATCAAGCTTGTTGAATATTACACATGCTTAATTTTTGTTAAGATGTGTTCGTGGAGACTATATGGGGCTGAAGCACATAGAGCAACCATAATATCGCTGCAAGTGTTAACTGTGCATCTACTGATCAGTGTGTACTGACCATGCACTTATGGTACTGTCATGCATCTGAATTCATAGCTTCTTTAAAGCTGAGTAGTGAGAGACTACAATAAGAAGTTTCAGATTTAGAATGTTGTATTGATAGGGAAGAACAGATTTTATTGGAACCTGTGCTGTTTCCTATTGCTGAAGGTCTTTAGGAACAGGTTAGATGTCCAAAATATATTGTCTTACTTGGTACTGAGAAGGATCCCCTTGCATGGATCTGTAAGATTTTCCCAGGCCTGTTTTTCATTTTTTACATGTAATTTTCTTCAGTGTCAGGGCTGTGAAAGGAATAAAACAAACAGGATGAAAAAATTTAGTGGTAGTATAGATGTATGGATGACTCCCTTAAATGCCAGTTCCTGCAGTCACATGTAGCTGAAGTAGAACTGAGGTTTACGGGGTGGTTCAGAGTGACACAGACAACAGGAGCGCATCAGAACAGTTTGGCGCAGGGGCAGCACCTCGCAGCACCTCGCAGCACCACAGTGTTGGTGTGGTCACTTTCTGGCTCGTGCTGTGGACACTCTGGGCTCCTGGCTTGTCCTCCCTCCTGCTGCTCCCTGATAGGTAGCTAGGTGTTAAAGGAGCAGTGAAGAAAGTGGATGGCTCTGAAAACCCTCTATGAGGACCATGAAGACAGATCTGCTCATCTGAATTCCGTGAGCAGTTCTTGCAGCTCCTGAAAGCACACAAACTGCTCTGTAAATATTTAACTGTAGAAATTAGATCAGCATGCTTCTGGGAGTGAGAGGGTTATGGCAACAGTGTTTGCTCTACCAGTGCTTTGGAAAACTAATTTTTTTCTATTAATGCTGTACCTAATTCTGCTGCCATTATTGTCACTGTAAGAATGTAACTTGAACTCCTTCCCTCTGTTTGGTTTGTCTTATCTCTGAGTTACTCCTAGAGGCTAACTTACTGTTGTTTCTCTTTTGACTGCTTTTCTCCATTTTTTTTTTTTTTTTTCTTATTTTTTTTGGGACATTTTTTGAGATCTGATTCACCAGCAACAGGAGAAGGGGTTCTGTTCATAATGTGCATGTTAGCCAGATGAACAGTTCACTTCAGTATGTTTTCTCAAGACCTGTCCTTGAAGAATAAAGTAAGCTTCAAGCACGTTTCGTCAGCAGACCCCACGTTATCTCTTGCAGTATGTTTGGAGTGTTAGGTTGGACTTAGGTTTTAGAATGCTGGTCTGGTCTTAGAGAATGAAGCAGGTTGAAGGACAGCGGTCCTAGCTGATCATTTGTCATCTGTTTCCTTGTGTTTCAGCTGTGTGTCAGTGTCTGCCTGTTCTCTCTCATATAATACTTTGCTACATGTAGGTAAAAGGTGCACCTTGACTGACACTCCTACCACAGTGAGGAAAGCTGCTGACCACTGGGGCTCCTGGGCACTCCTGTGACTTTTTTTTTTTAACATGGAATGGAGACTGGGCTGGCAGAACCTCCCTTCTGAAATACGACACTGAGAAGAACTCACATAAATGCAGTGTTATTTCATTTCGAGTTGTATTACTTTACGTAGAAGGAAATGTAAGCTGGTATTCAAAGTTCAGTGATTACTTCCACCTGTTTCGTGGAGTTTGTTTCTCATGGTCACATTCTTTATTGTTTTATCCCTAGGAAGGTGTCTCTTCTCACTGAATAAACTTGGTCACTGCTGCTGAGCGATATTTTTGATTTTTAATATTCTTCTTTTTAAAAACTCTCTTAAGCAGCTCCCTGATTTGTCAAGGTATTTTTGAACTTGCATAACCTTTAAAGCAATTATTATAAGCCTGGCTGTAAAAATTGCTGAATTCAGAGATAATTCATGAGCTGTGTAGGTTTCCCTTAAAATAAATTCCAACTACTGCAAATGTGCAAATCTAGCTGTAGATTCCAGCTTAACAAACAAAAACAAAAAAAATTGCATAAAATTCCCACAGCATTAAGGTTGTTGTCAGTTCTTACCTTTTCTTCATTGTTCGTTTGTGGAGACTTGCACTGTCAGCCTAGCTGTGCCAGAGGCATACATACACACAAAGAGGACACTGATGGACTGGAGCATGTGTCTGGTGGACTGCTGCACCCAAGAGGGTGCTGCTGTTGTGGCTAATGGCTCAAGTGGGCAAGACGAGACAGTTTTCTAGTGCAGAAAAGGAGCTGGGTGGGTTCAGTGGATCCATTCCAACTCAAGATAGCCTGTGACTGTGATTTTGTGACTGGTCGGGGAAGCTGGTGTTACTGGTCTCAGCCTGTAAGAGGTGACCAGGGTGAAAATTCCTTGGTGACCACTGCAGCTTATAGCTGTATTGAGCTGTGTTCTTGATGTTTCTACTTAGCTTATGGGAAACATTGCACAAACATGTCATTCATTTCTTTCTGCGTCTGGGAAAACCGTGCGTCTTGGTGATAAGAGCCCACCTGCATGGCAGGATGTGTGGATGTGTACCAGCAGGAGGAGGGAGACTCATCGCTGTTCTGGGCCTGGGTTTCTGGAGCGGGCCGGCTCTCTGGAGGATGCTGCAGGTAGACTACGTGTGGGTATTAAATGGTCCGCCAGGCTGTAAGATTAGTATCAGAACTGGGGGAGGAAGTAACAGGAATAATTAAGAAATGTGTTGAGTCTGACTGGCTCCTACTCATCTGCAGTGAACTGTTTAATATAGGGAGAAATGGTGGGGTTTGTTTGTTTTTTTTTCAGGACATAGATAATACCCTTTTTTTAAATGTACTTTGTATGTGCTGGGAACTGTTACTGTTGACCCTGAACAAATGTAAAGAAATGTGTGATATTGTCATGCTTTGATGCCTGCTTAGAGCTGAAGTCTTACTTGTTTATAGATTGCAATATACCCAGAGTAGTAGAGAACTCAGTGGAGCTAACTACCCAAGTAACATCTTTGCTTCCTACAGATCTTTTGCAGCTTCACTTGGACTGTTTGTTACCACAGCCATAAAAGTATTCACAACAAGTTAAGGCCAGCCTAGCTGTGCCTTCTCAGCTGTGAGAGTGACTTAATTAGCAAGAGCAGGTCTAACTTCAGTCTCAGTGACACAGATGGCATGGCAGGATGGTGTGAAGGTCTTTATTCTGCAGGGGAGGGTAGCTACGGCCTTGGCTGCACTTGTTTCCACTGAACATTACTAGGCCCAGGCATTTGTCTGGTCTTATGTGCCTGATGTGAATTTCTCACAGCCATGCTTTCTGGTATCAGTCAGTGCAGCCTTGGTGGTAAGGGTTGTATGATGCAAGATTTGTGGTACCTAGGATTAACTAGAGCTAGCAGCAACCTGGCAGACAACACACCTAAGTCTGATCACCAACGCATGTATCTTTCTGCTGGAGAATTTCCTGTGCCTCAGTACTACAAAGTCTTTGCTGGAGCAAGTTCCCATCAAAATCTTCTGTTTTGCTTCTATGGGTTATGATTTTGTTCCCTTTGTTTTTTGGCAGAATACTTCTGCTCTCCTAGTTTGTTGGGATCTGATGTAGCTTGTCTCTTTTCTTTTTTTTCTTAATTTTGGCTGTAGGTGAAACATAAACAATGCAGAGAGAACTCTAAAATAATGTTATGCTGCCAAAAATTGCAATCTCTTGGATCATGGACAACTTCTCTGTTATCTTCACTGGCATGAGCAGTCACAATCACTGCTGCCAGAGATTTTCTCAGTCATTCAAAAGTAAAACAGCATAGTACAACCCATTTCTAGTGAGTGTCTGACGTTCAGCTCTACCACCTGCTGTTTTCTCTCATTCAATGTAGTGTCTTCTCCTTAGAGCTGCCTCTTGATTTCTCTGGTGACTTCAAGGTTATAGCAGCTGAAATCCATCCTGACCACTGCCCTCTTCTCATCAGCTGCTTTGCTTGAGTCTGCACTCTGAAACCCTATACCTGCTGTTGGAACTGTGTTCAGCATCCCCACTTCTTGAAATAAGAAAAGATTATTTTGTAACTTTGTCCAAACTGTGTGGGCTCTAGTGGACAGAGCTCCCTTTCTCTTACTTCGTTAGCATTCTCCTGGTTTGACCCTGAAGGCTGTTTAAAACAGATTGAACGCTGTCAGCAGGCACAGCTGAATAGAATCCAGACTTTAATTTAGTCCAGGAGATATCAGCCAACCGATTTTCGGCTTTTTCTGCATAGGTCCTTAAGCATGCATCCAAGGCTTTCAGCTTTCTTTGGGAAGAATGATGAGTGGGGTGACAGCACGTCTGCAGTGATTCCAAGATGATAGAGTCATGACGATGGAGAAGAATGCTTTGTAGGAAGTATATTCTTTGAGTACAGTGAACTGGTGTGATTTGTATTTAACAAAAAAAAAATGTTGAACAGTGCCATCAGATTACTTAAACATTCTTCTTTCAACAGTTGGGTCAGAATTTGACTTTAGAATGTTTTCATAGAGGCATTAATTTGATTAAAGGCAAGGATTGCATGT